AACAAGTCATTTGATAAATTGATTCAATAAAATTTGCTATCAGAATTATAATTGAGGCCCTTTGTTTTTTTTTTTCATCTTTTTTTCGTTTTGTAAGGTGCAAGAGGAAAAATGAACTCTATTCAATATTGTATCGTATTGACAAATTTGTTTTTTTTTTCTGTATTCTAACATGTCATTTCTGCTGTCAATAAATTCATTTATTATTATTATACTCTGGGTTATGAACTGGCCCCCCTACAAAAATGATTTTCCACCGTGGCCCAAAATGGCCAACAAAATTTACTTTTGAATCTGATGTAAATGAGCGAGAGAATTTATATTTCGATTTCAAATGACTGTTTGGATAAAAATGCAATTCATTTCACAGAAATTCGTATTCAACACGTATGTAAAAGGTTAAATTAAGTGTTATGAATTTATTTTTATAACTATCGGTGTGAAGAAATGTGTGTTTTTCAATAGAAAAATTATTCAACAGTAGAAAAAAATTGCATTCAATTCTATTCTCATCATCAAACAGTAGACTGGCCTGAACAAATTGTTCCTTCAGACGATTTGATTTATAGCCAGTCTTCAAGTATGCCCACTGATTATATGACTATATATGAAAAGTTTTCTTTCCATATACGAGGATTTGGGCAAACTTCGGATATGCGGTTGATTATCTCCTTCACAGACAGATGGGATGATGACAAAACGGTTGTTTGTTGTCTGTCTGCTTCAGCCTAGTTCGAGGAATGATACTCTGAACGAATTTGATTTTCAATTATCGGAAATCATCGACAGTTGTATCGCCAACAGCATATGCAGTAATAACTTCAGTGGAGAATCCTGTACTGACACCTGTCGGATATAATCCAACGTAGTATTAGCCAGGGGAGTAGTTGTTTTCTGATAGGTGTCAGTCCATTAACCTACACTGGAAGGGGGTTGAGACTGGCTCGAACGAATTGTTCCTTCACGTGATTTGAATAAAACATTTTTTTACTTTTGAAAACACGAAAAATTTGTCAATATCGAGTTCGGTCAATATGGCGGCACAGAGCTCACCGAGCGAGTATCGTAGATGAAAAAAATTATGCGAAAGACCACTGACGACTCAAGGCCTGTTATGTCTAAAATGTTTAGAATAGTCCAGAATATTTGAGCGTATTCGAGAGATTTTCACAACATCTCGGACCTTCTGGAATGGAAAATCATCTCCCTAGTATCCCAAACAACTCGATTTATACGTACACTATATGTCAGGGGCCTGAACAACTAATTATTATAATATATGAGGGCACGCACTTCATAATCGTTTCAATAAGTGTGAACGATGTAGCTCATTATTTTTAATTTATTGTTGTCTACCTTCATTCTCACGAATTCATTTATTACACCGAACCCGCTGACATTTCGATTACATCATAAACATATTGTTGAGTGTCGTTTGTTCAGATTACCATCTTTCCGATCTTCACTTGGAACTGATTGTTCTCGACATGCAACCATAATGCATGAAACTCAATATGCTTGATTTGATTTATACAATGATGAATATAGGTGTCTAAGAGAAATTACATGAGGTATGATTAAAATGTGTCACGGATAAAAATCGATATTGCCATTGTATTTTATTCAATAAGGTACAACGGTTAAAATATTATAGTTGAGAGAGGTTGTAAATTATCCTTGAGAAATTTATATATTTGGTTTAACATATGACGAAAATATTGTACGGATTGCATGATCTTGAGCAGTTATTTCTTGAAGATATGAATGTTTCTATGTTTGAAGGTGATTGACAATGTTTCGTGATGAATTTCACTAGTTCGGACTTCCATTGTCTATTATATAAAATGATTTGAAATCCCTGAAACAAGTAAAAAAATAATTAAAAAGAATAGTAGTTGAAAATAACAATTATATTAAGCAACAATAAACCTGAAATGANAACTGTGATAAAATTATTTCGTTAGTTATCAATGTCCTTGGGATATTATAGCTGAAAATCATTGCAGATGTAATAATGACATCCAATTCCAATTCAGACCACTAATTCGATAACATGGTTGTTGATTTTTACGAATACCTGCAATGGAACCTATTATTTTGAAATGATTATCTTTTTATAGTGAATTTATTGATGCCCTGCTTGGGCAAGAGTGGGTTCTTAGATTCGAATTTTAATTCGTATTGATATACGAATTATAAAATTTTTCCGAAATACACACATAATTTCATCAAGTTAATTTTTCAATGCCTGTCTCGTCAATCATTGTTGTATTTGTTGTTATTGTGTTTGTGTGTTATTGTTAATTCGTCATTCACCTCTCTATATTTATGACAATTCTGATTAATATTCCATTCATTTTTTTAAACGTGATGAAAAGTTTTTCAAAATCGAAGATTCTCCTCAAGTGTAATGCAGAGCAAACCGAAAAGTTTACCCCGTAAAGTTACTGCGTAATATAAATCTCAGAAGATTTCAATTAGCCATTACCTTTTCACAATCATTAATATGACCTATTAATAAAATGTGTTATTACTGAAAAACAATATGTATGCAATTTTCTTTATTTGTAATTCAATTAAGATTCATATTTCCTTTTTCAACCTCTTGCCTCAGCAAGTCAATAAATTTCAGCAGAGTTGGTTGAAAAATACTACATGGCTGAAAAGTTTCGGGCATAACACATAGATGACGCTAGTCTTAGTGCACTCACCGCATTTTCAGTTAGAACTAGCCTTCAAAAGGAAGCTGCTGAAAAAAATCCACAAAATCGTATTGAATGGTCGAAAAGTGAAGTTGCGTGAGTTATCTGACGTAGGGATATCAAAAGAATGTGTTGGCTTTATATTGCATACGAATTCGACTATGAGAAAGCTCTGTTCAAAGTGGGTGCCGCGCGAGCTCACTATTGACCAACAACAAGAACGTCTTGATGATTCTGAGCAGTGTTTGGCCATGTTCTAACATAACAAACAATTGTTGCATTGATATGTGACAATCATCACTTAACTCCTGAATCAAAATGATCGTCATCTGAATGGAGAGAAACTGGCGAATCTCGTCCAAAGCGCCCAAAAGCACAACAATCGACTGGAAAGGTTATGGCCTCGGTTTTTTGGGATATGCGTGGTGAAATATTCATCGACTATCTTGAGAAGGAAAATACCACCAACAGTGAATATTATATAGCGATATTAGAGCGTTTGAAGGCCGAAATTGCAAAGAAACGATCGCATATGGCAAAAGAAAAAAAAATTCATCAAGACAACTCACCGTGCTACAAGTCAATAAAAACAATGGTCAAACTACACGAATTGAACTTCGAATGGCTCCCACATCCACCGTATTCGCCAGATTTGGTTCCCAGCGACTACTGGCTGTACGCAGACCGATAAGAAATTTTCCTCAAATAAAGAGGTTATTGCTGAAACTGAGGCCTATTTTGAGGCAAGAGATAAATCGTTCTACAAAAGTGGTATTGAAAAGTTAGAACGACGCTGAAATGAAGCAGCCAACTTTGAACAAAAAAAACATTTAGGCCCGTGACTTTTCAGCCCAGGTGTTACTATACCTGATATCTACTAAAAATGGATTCGTTGAGATTTCTCACTTTTTCGTTATTTGATGACTATTTTATTTCATTTCAGTTGATTTTAAAATAAGCTCCGCTATTTACGGTCATGTTACATGCCTTCTTTTTACGTATTAAGGATGTTCGTTTTGTCTAATATTTAGGGGTCTTGATATGTCACCTATATAACTTTTGTCGCGGAAACATATCCATATCAGTTTTTCATGCGTGTTATCTTAGGTTAGGTCCAAAGTGAGTGGGTCTATTCGACCCTGCACCGTAACCCGCAAGGGTTTATTGTGGCTCACATCTATTCACACTAGACCAAATAAACCCAGCTCCTCAACGAAGCCGATTAGTTTGTATGGTGAGTCTTTCAGGTCAGATGGTACGTGTTCTTGGAGTTTGTTTGTATGAGAAGAGATCTCAATATGGCGGTAGTTCTAAAAGTTGTTCTGAAACCAAATCTGTAAGGAGATATGTTATTGTATTTATGTACTCAGCCTTGTTCTTTAAGAACAGTCGAGTCCAGCAATGCATTCGTGAAATTTATGTGATGATCATGTACTCTTTTTTATGTGGATTTATTGTTTTTCAATGAGCGCTCTTTCTACAAACTGGTCCGTATATGCGTTTGCCTTCAAAACAGTTCAAATAATAATTAACTTCATTTTCTTGATCACGTCCTATATTGCAAGTTGTCTCAGCTCTATCATATGAACATTCGAATTAAACTTTCAATTCAAAAATCGAACCCAAATGCGATCTAATCGAAATTAGACTACAGGAGCCTGATTTGAGCCTAGGATAAAGCTTGATGTGTCTTCACTTGGCGGTAGATTTTGGCTATCGTACGTTTTTGTGGGATACTTCAGATTATATTAAATAGTTGAGTTCTATCAGTTATGTTAAATAGAGTTGAATAACGATGAAATCTGTGGAATTATAAATTTTCATCGATTCTGTAATCAATTGCTTATCTAGTATTTCATATCGAAATTGTATCAATTTTGTGGAATGTAAAACGTATAATTTAGATAAAATTAGTTCTTCTGATGAACATTTCTATGAGTTAGATTTATGATTTAGATATCTACATTATGATCAAATCATCTCCTACAGTATATATACGATCTTTTTCACGTGCATTATTGTAATGGGTTCGAGTAAGTTGAGAATAAACATTAGAAGAAACCACAGTTTGCAACATATGGGTTCAACGTCTAATGTACATCAGATAAGCATTCATTAAATCCCAGAATGATACTTAAGCTAATAAATTAAACTAATACTATATGATTTTGTATATTTCGTTATAATAATTATGTGAACTATCATTATCCATACCCACACTCATCCGATATATTAGTAGGTAATTATTATTTTTATCAACACTAAGTACTTACTCAAAATATATATTTTTTCAGACCGAACGTTTGCCGCTCGAGAACAAAAACCTACTGTTGCCCAGGATGGCAGAGACACAATTTATTAGGATTGTGTATAATACGTAAGTAGGAGAAGAATATAAATATTGGACGAAAATATTAAAATATTATTTTTATTGTAGCAATATGCTCGAGACAATGTGGTTCAGGGCAATGTGTATCTCCGAATATGTGTTTATGTGATGGAGGACAAAAAGCGTCAAGCTGTACTAAAAGCTACAAGCAGATACAAGAACAAGGTAAATCCTATGAAGGATTCATAAAGATTACGAAATACAAAAAATAAAAGACATTTATGTATCATCTGTAAAGAAATAGTAACTGAAGATAGATAATTTCAAATCAAAACTAAATATCATATTCTGACACCCTGAAAACATTATATTGTTCACTATGCAGACTCGAGGCAACTTTTTGTTGCAGTGTTCCCAAAATTTTGATTTATATCCTGTTCTATACAGAATAATAATATTTTTCTAATCATGAATTAAAATTAGCTGAAGCTATAGCTACACCTCATTCTTTGTACTGTATTATCATTAAAAAAACATCAAATCTTTCAATGATTGAGTTTGAAATGTCGATGTCGTACAAACTTGAAATTTGCAATAATATACAGGGTATTCCATATTCGATGGTCTATTAGACGTATCTAGAGAACAAAAATAGATGGGAGTTTCAAATTTTGGTTACCGATGTAGATGGCTGTGATCTGTCGTTTGAAAATATTTTTATCGCCGCGTTGTTGCCACATCTACATGTAACAGACATCAACTTGGAAATTTCAAATGGAACACACTATATATTATATCATTTTTGAATTCTGCATCGAAATCCAATTTACTTTTGTGAACCATGTTCTATACCTATCTATCACCGTTTTCAAAATAATAATCATTTTTTATTTTTTTTTTGGCAAAAACATGGTATTTTGAATATATAATATCGCTTGAACTAACTGATACATCGAACTCAAATTCTGGCAACATTGAGATAAGGTATGGTGGTCATTATTTCAGAACGAAACTCAAATCTTATTTTATACAGAGTGTCTGAAAAATACGACTCAATTTGTATCTTTGAAAAACGACCATTACTATTTTTTTTCGAATAGAACACCCTGTATATTATTCAATTTTCGAATTCAGCCAAACAATGTGATCAACTTCGATCAACTATGTTCTATACCTATCTCTGACCGTTTATGAGATATGAATTCTTCTATAATTTTTTTGCTTCTATACAAATATAACATTTCAATCACAAAAGTCGGTGAAAAATGTATTTATTGAACATATTGAATAATGAATGATAACTTTATATTAGTTCAGAAAGGTTTAATGGAATACATGAATGAAATTTCATAGTGGGTGAATGACAAACATTACTATTTTGACCGAAGAACGAACACTTTTCAAAATTAAATTGATAACAAAATTAATTCTACACTAAAAAACAAGAGATACTATTGTGAAACTATCTTCGCAATTATTTGATATTTGATACTGACATGACAAAAATTCACTAGCTCGGATGCTTGAAATGCTGACCATTTGCTTGTAAACATTGATGGATTGATGATGTTATTATGTGATTAGTCGTGGCTCTGCGGGTCGGAAGATAAAAATCTAGGGGAGTCAGATTCGATGATACCAAGAATTGCGATACAAGTTCAGGGGCAAATTGTCTAGAAAATCGCTCATAGTCGATCTCAGAATATCTGAATATTTTTCGGAATTCAACTATTCTTCATAAATGCAAATAGAAACTTTATCATCCGTGAGCATACAAAAAAACATTAAAACTGATTATTTCGACTGAATATTCCCTGACGTGAAATAAATGAATATAAAACAAATTTAGGATTTTAAGAGTTCGAATAATTATTATTATCCATCTTCACTATTCAATATGACAGTTGAACTATTATTGTCGAATCCATTATTTTGTTTTTTTAATCAGACTTAGATCATGATACACTTAGATTATGATTCTTGCCGAAATTCAGTTGCTAAGTAATAAAAAAATGTAAGAAGGGATACATTGCACTAATTTACAAAAAAACTAAAAAAATATGTTTCATCATTAAACAGGGTTAATCGACTGGTAGAAAGCGTTCAAGACAGAATTGGAATCTTTTGTAGAAAGCTAGGTGACCGTTTCAGGGTTTCGTATAAAATCGTACAGAAGACTGTTCAAAAATGAGTGTGTTTTGAAATGAGAAGGAAGTATTCCAAATACACCCAGACACATTGTGTGAGAAACCGCGTGATCAAACTGGATAATTTAAAATATTTTACGTTGGCGCATTCTGGAATGATAGGCAATGATGGATTTTACGTCTCCGATATTGAAAATTGTTCACATGAAGTGAAATTTGAAGACTTGGCCAAATTTGCTGACAAAGTTCTAATAGGGTGCGCGACTTCTGAAACTGGGGTTTTAGCACCTATATTTGTCTAGTTCAAGGAGGAGCTGTTAACGCGGAGCTTTATACGAAAAAATACTCACCCACCATCAGAACGACGATATTGTATTTTGGTCTGACCTTACTTCGTGCCTTTATACCAGAAGCTCTACGAAGCGGATGAAACAGAGTAATGTTGATTATGTACGGAACGAATATGACCCTCCAAATATACCACAACCTCGGCCAATCGAATCATTTCGGTAGCACATGTTTAGAAGAAATCTAAAAGTGGATCTCAACATCGTCCAATGGAAGATGATATTAATATTAACCAAATTGGGTGCCATTGAGGAGTATGGTTGTATTTCGACTTCTGAGGGTTTTTGTTCGTAGGGGTGCGACAGCTGGTTAACGGAAAAACAGATTTTTTTAAATATATTTCGTTGATCGTTCTCTCAAGACTCATACTCTTATACTCATGTCTATTCCTCAGGTACACGCTGCAAAGGTTTTCTGACTTGACGCCGGGGCCTCAATCTGCCTACTCCCCAGGCATCGTCGTTGGTCTCCGCAAGAGTCTTAATCTGCCTACTCCCAAGCATCAGTTGACGCTTGGGAGTGGAGTAGACCCAATAGTAATTTGTATTTGAATTAATAAAAGTCATACGAAAACTTTTGGTAAATTATTCTTCAAATTTTTAGAAGGTAATTACTCATAATCGACACTTCGATTTTTGAGAAGTGATCTTCATCGTCTCTTGTAACAAGTTCATGCATCTATCAGATTCAGCAGTGAATATTCGTAACTGTTCCGATTCTTTTGACTTCCAAGTAAATGTTATTTTACACAGCCTATCGAACAATTTCTGTTTATAAATTCTTGAGTCAAAAAAGTTTCATAAATCGTAGAGATACTGGGCGAATATTTATTCTGAATTTCAAATTTTATACTAAGTCGCATAAAAAAAACACAAATTGATCAAAATTTCCGAAAAATGCAACCGATGTAAAAACTGCAAAAAATTATGAAGTGTTCAGCCTCCATAATGCATTATGTACTCAGAACTGGATTAACTCTTGATGGAATGATCGATTTTTTCTTGAGGTATATCTCATTCCAAATTACTTGTACCTCGTGCCAAAATACCGCTGGAGTTGTGAAATGTTCCGAATATAAGGCAGAATATACAGTTCCACCAACTCCTAGATTTAAGCATAGTGGTCATGTTGCCTCTAATGAATACCAAGAGTAACCTGCTTCTATAAACCTTGTACCACAATTCCCACAGTGTGGTGCACATGCCTATCCATAGCAATTTGAGGATCTCTCATCTACACGACCACCATGCATGCCCAAACATAATCCCGAATGATCACTGATTTCAATGTTGTTCTATCGGAGGTCCCAATTGAGCCGTTCTTCACATCAAGTCAGTCGATCACTTTGGAGTCTAGGAGTGAGAAGTTGGACAAACTGAGGCCGGTATGGAGTGGAAAACGGTTCCCATGCTCTCCACACCATTGGTCTGGAATTGTCCTTGTAGAAGTGAAGCGTTCCCGTAGAGCCAAAAGCCTAATGCAACGATCTTGGTGTGAGCCGTTTTCTGACACACTCTGTACCTACATCTCTCCATGTACGACTTTCAGGAATACATACCCAACAACAAACCACCATCTTGTTTACACTTCTGTTTACCCTCGTGACTATTTCTCTGAAGGATAAACCAGTCTCACGAAAGCTCAATATTCGCCCTCTATCAAACTTGCTGAACCGTTGAAAATTATCTCGTCTTGTCACTTTAGGCATGATGAACAGATTAATACAACTCTACACAACGTATTGCACAATGATCGAATGTCAATTGTAGCTGCAAAACATAACTACAGCTAACTTACTTGTTTTTATAAGAACAGACGATATCACAAAAACCACTTCATCGATATGGTTGTGAAATTGATCTTTTTTGTCCTTACTTAAACCAAATATTTATAGAAATGATTTGTAATGAATCAGTTATTACTAAATGTTCTTTTTTATGTCATTTAGATTTTAAACAGATTTATCAGTATTTTATTGTCTTTCACTTCATATTGCTCCATTTCAATAATAATACATCTTTAGAATCATAGTCGGTCTGAAGATGAGTATCGTACAGACTCGGCGCGATCATCAATGTTAGGGGTGATTATTCTTTCTTTAATCTCAGCATTTTGGAAAATTGTAATTTTGAATATTATTAAGCTATTTTAATTCTTTTCCAGGTTTTGACCGAAAGTCGTGTCGACTAATATGCATGAACGGTGGAACTTGTGTTGATGACAAATGTGTATGTCCAGAAGGATATTCCGGGGAGTTTTGCACAGAACGTAATGTATCAATTACTCTGAAATTTCGAGTTCATTGAAAAGTTGTACCGTTTTATCATTTCATTTTTTTATTAACAAGTTCAGCATGTGATTGTACATTAACAATTATACAAGATTATTACGTTTCCAAAAATAGTATTGAATGTGTGGTAATGAAGCAAAAAGTATCAAATTGTAGATTCTCATTATAAAACATGAAATGCACATAGATACTGATTCTCTTCTTCTATTTTTTATATTATATTGATAAAATTTTGTTTGTGTGATTCGCGATAGTTTTTGAAAAATGATAAAGTACACTCAAGTATTTTTATACGCTGATTACAATGATGAAGTAGAAATTTGGCGCTCCGGTCTACTTTCAGAGTTACAGTCACTCAAAAGTTTTCTTAACACAATCGCTGCCTTTATTCACCTGCCACTTCCATTATATTTATAACCCCTGAATTGCTCTAAAACGAATTGTTACGAAACTTTCATTGCTGCAGATTATTTGAGCCCTCTACAGAAATATTTCTTCAACGTGACATGAACTGAGATATTGTCATTGAACAGTTATCTCTAGCAAAATAACTTTTTGTGATTATATCTGTTAATGGTTGAAGATATTATAAATGAGTGACCAGAGATTGATGTACACCACAGATTTATGTAATAAAATTAAAAAAAACAATGACATTTGTTTTCTGGAATTTGTCAGGCAATCAACAAAAAATCCACACTAAAAATATAATAAATCAAAAAGTACTATTTTCTAGCTCCTATGGCTGCGATTTAATGAATTACTTTCACTGCATTTTCTCAAAGCCAGCGCATTTTTATATCAAATTATGTATTACGATAATAAATATTTGTTCAAATAAACTTGATAACTTATGCTTTTCTTATAAACAAGTAATCTATTTGTGATTGTATATTATTGAAACAATAGACTGGCTCTCAATCATTCATGATTCTCTCACCCGCTCATGTTTCCATCACGCTAAGATCGTTTGAATCTTTAATAATTTGATACATCAAAAAACTTATTAATATGTTCGATATTAATTATAAATCGATAAAAAAGCAAGCAAGTTCAGGATAACTGAAGTTAAACGAAGTTATTTTTTGAAAGGCTAATTTTTTAACACTAACAATTGCAGCTATATGCATGGAATCTTGTAAGAATGGAGGCCAATGCATCGGTCCAGACAGATGTGCATGCTTTTATGGATTTTCCGGCAATCACTGTGAAATAGGTAAATGTAACACTGCTTATGAATTTTGTCCATTGCTCAAAACAAATGTAGATTACAGAACTGGACCTTGTTATACGGGATATCGTGGTAACCTCTGTGTCAATCAACTGGAAGGCGTTGTCTGTACAAAAACTTTGTGTTGTGCCACTGTTGGGAAAGCTTGGGGACATCCATGTCAGCATTGTCCCTCAAGATTGGAATGTGATACTGGATATTTGAAGAATCTCAAAACTGGAGAATGTGTGGGTAAGAATAAGAAATTATTGAGGAAATTCACAAAGTTCTTGAACCCTGCAACATACTTTTACAAAAAAGGGAATATAGTTTGTAATCCAAATAAACAATCATTTTGTCAACAGATATTAATGAATGTGAAGCAATACCTCATTTATGCTCTGGCGGCACTTGCGTGAATTCAGTGGGCTCATTCACTTGCGAATGTCCTTCAGGACAAACGAGAAATCCGGCCACAAACCGCTGTGAAGATAGAAATGAGTGCGAAGATGAAAACATTTGCCAAGATGGACGATGTGTTAACACAAATGGCGGATACATATGCCTGTGCAATCCAGGATTCATTCAAAGTCAAGACAAAACCTACTGTATTGGTAAGTTCAAACAATTATCTCAATTCACTTTTCGAGATAAAGTTTTGTTACTTGACTGGGTCCTTCAACAAGAGAATAACTCAATGAATGCACTAGCTAATAGATCCATAAGCAACTTCCAAGTCAATTGCTCTCAGTAAACTTTACTCTTTGAATATTAATTTCATGCACCAACATCTTCAAAATAAAGACCTCATATTCTGACACTGACAAATTTCAATGCTACACAACTCTATCTTTTATTTTTTCATTCAAAACCACCCCTCTTGCTGAAGAGAGGAATATCTAGAACTTGGAAGCTTTGATATGTGGCTTAAGATAACATCACATCAGAAATTGCATCTTTCGTCCTACAATTGACACACATCTCACTATTTCATTTTCACTTGCGAACACAACCGATTTTGAAAAATCAATCATTCATATTTCGCTTAAATTTTCCAATATCAGTGGAAAACAAAGTCACGAAGTTTTTGCAATAAGCAGCGGTCTAACTCAAATAATAAACACATTTGCCTGATTTGGATCAATAATTTGTTAATTTTGTTCATCTATATACTAAACAATTTATCTCAAACTTTACATACTCATCGCGTAGTCTCCAAAAGTGTTGAAAAAAAACGTAAATCGTTCAAGTGTTTGACCCAAAAGATCTGCCAAATAGGCAAAATTTAATTCCGATTAGGTATTTTGAAAACTTTCAACTTTTCATAAGAAAACGCGTTCGTACTTTTTTGGAAATAATTTTATTGTGAACAATAAAGGTCATAATTCATTTTATTGCAACTCTCATAGTTCTGAAAATTACGTACATACAAGAACATGTAAAATTATTGTTTGACCTATTGAATTCTATTATTTGAATGCAAAATTTATTGACATTCAGTGACTTCCACAAGAAATAACGTGAAAGACCATGTTTTTAGAGAAATTTATGATAAGCAGTAAACAAAAAAGGTAACAACCCATTTCAACCTACGTTGATATGGAGAATTCTAATGATTCTCGAATATTAAATAATAAGTATTTGTTGTAAAGGTGTATATCTATCAGTTTGACTAAAAGGTGTAAAATATTTGTTTGTGAACACAAAGTCTTGAAATAAAAATAGCACTATTATAGAAAAAATAATATACAACCATGTTCGATCCATATAATAACTGTAATGAAAGATGTGGAAAATTCTTGAAAATGTAATATTCAGTTTTCGAAAAATCCCTAATGAACTTACAAGGAGAAGTAGAAGACACTGGATTCTAGAAGGCTCCAACTTATTTTTTATCTGAAACCATGAAAACACATGAAGTATGAAAGTGACATACATAGCTCCTCACTATTTCATATTAATAATTTTTAAAGGTATATTTTGGCGCAATGAAAGTAGAAAGTTATTGAGAGGTATAAAATTGTCCAGCATGATTTGTTCAGAATATTGAGAAACGTTGTTGCAGTGGTAATATTCAAACTTGTCAAATTATCCCATTTATTGAAATATTGAATAATTTTTTGAACTTGAAAATTCTAGCAGTTTCAAAAATTGAGATCTGGAAAGGTCTTCCTAAATATATCATTCAAGAGATTGTATTGTTCCTAAAGCTTTCATTGCGTTAAAAATATTTCATTTCCATAACTGGATCATCATTTTCATTTCAGATGGTCGTCAAGGAATATGCTACACACTTCGCACTCCTCAGGGCCGTTGTAGCAATCATCTACACATGCGATTGTCCAAAAAAGATTGCTGCTGCGGTGTTAACATGGGACAAGGTTGGGCCATGTATGACGGAGATGAGTGTTTGGTATGCCCAAAATTTGGAGAAGGTTTGTTATGATTCACAATCAACTCTACGGCTTGCAAAAACTGTATTTTCCAGATGAGCATAGACATCTCTGTGAAGCAGCAGTATCTCACCAAATCCCAGGTTCTGGTACCTTTCATCTCACTCCAGGAACTATACCGAGTATTGATCAAGTAGGACAAATAACTATTAATGAATGCATTTTGAGACCTGATATATGTGGAAGAGGCAAATGTGTTGATACTGTCCAGGGATATGAATGTCTATGCGAACCGGGATTCCGATTAGGAAAATCACATGTGTGTGAAGGCTAGTGCTACTTTTGATAACATTTTTAGTATTAAATGTTGATTTCAAATATATTTTCAAATTTTCGAGCGAAAACTGAAAATTCTTCACTGTCTGTACTTCATTTTGAAATGCACATAGATACTGATTCTCTTCTTCTATTTTTTATATTATATTGATAAAATTTTGTTTTCAATATTAACAAAAATGAAACTATCAGTAAAAAAAAATTGTATTTCGCCTACCCGGTGACTGAATACGTCGAATATAGGACGAAAATGGGTGAGAAATAGAGTAAAAGTGCCAATGTTGAACAATTTAACTTTTTTCTCGAGTGACAAAAAACTGATATAATGAATCAAATCGCATAAACTCAGAGTATACAAAATAGAATATTACATATCGAGTAGGATAAGACACCCAATTACCCACGAGCGAAAAATTGCCAGCACGAGGCGTTAGCCGAGTGCGATAATTCGCTAGTGGACGTAATTGGCCTTATCCTCGAGGTGAGTACTATACTTTTTCTACGACTGATTGTAGAAAGGAATAGTAAAATATATTTGTTTGAGATTATGACTGAATAAAAGCTTATAATTTAAACAAGTGGTTGTTGAATCACGGATATAACTAGATTCATTACCGACCCACAAACTGTTGAACAATAAATTTAGTGAAAATATGATTTTCATTTCACAGAAAATTTGGAAAGAAAATTCACGGATTTTAGTTTTGGACAAATGAATGAATTCATGAAATATCATATTTATCAGAGTAAATGTTACATATCTCATTATTTTTTTTCGGAAGTGGCCGCCATTACCTGCCTGCTGTCAAACACGTAATGATTAGTTTAAAATGGAAGGAGTAGAAAAAAATACATGAACTGTATAATCAAACATAATCATTGTGTCTATAAAAATTCAGTAGTTGAATTTCTTAAATAAGGTTCCAAGCTATTTGGAATTGAAAAATATCATTCTGCCCAGTGTTGCTCCGTGTTGTACAATTTTATAACATGTTACACTGTTTTAAAATGCCTTTACGTGTTGCGCCTCTTTCAGAAAATATCCTAATTTACTGTACAATTTCTAATTTGATCAATGACAAAGAATTCTATATGGGTTCACTAATCAGCCCTGGAATCAAAGGCAAATAAAAACTGAAAATTGAAGGAAAATATCAGATAGCTGTCAACATGTTAGATAGCTGCCTATTTTAGAAAACCTATGAAAAAATGGTCTCTCGTTGAGCTGCAATCAAATTTGATACTTTTAAAACCATTGCAACAGATTTCTTCCCGAATTTGAAAAGAAATGCGGCAACAAAAAAGCTATCAACAGACATTTGTTGTTAATTTTGTGTGTAACACCGTCAGTAACTAATCCTATACTATGTTGGACTACTTTTAGGTTGGTAACTGTACTAATTGAAATTCCATTGGAGCAACACTGGCTGTGCCCTACGTGACAGGTAGTATGGGCAATATTTTCAACAGGGAATACAAGTTGGGAAATATATAAGTATTGCGGCCACTAAGACCCCCATCTGCTCAGCTTGGTTTATCACATTCCTCTTCATTTTTTCATTTGATTCAATATTCTGATCCGAGTGCGTCCAGAATTGTTGCATACCTATAGAACAAAAATATTAACATTGCATTGTATCTCAAATACATACATACAATAAAAAAATGGGGTTGCAATTGCAATACAAAAATATTTCTATAGATTTCAATAACCCATCATAATCTTCCACCCATCTTGTATCACACATAGGGACCAAATTTTTCCACCTTGTCTTGGCAGAATTCTTGAGACAATTGCAAATTGACTTTACATAGTTTCTATTTTGTTGAATACCTATTCTTTCATTTATTGAATTCAAGAATGTTACGAATGATTTGATTTTTTGATGAGTTCCTTTTAAAGAGACATCTTAAGAAAACAAAACATCATGTCCTACCTACCATCAGCCGTGAAAATTTATCAAATCATTGTCTTCGATAGCGAAGATTTCGTTCTCCAGTTACTGGTTAAATAAAATTGGTGTTTGGAGTCAGGGAGTGGTTGAAAGTTAATTTTTCAAATTATCTTTCAATATAATCAAAGGAGTATACAAAGTCATATAAACTTGATTAGTGTCATTTTCATAAGCGTGGATTGCTTATGGAAATGTCTTAAATGTTACAAGTTTTTCGCAAGACAAAAAACAATTAAGGAACAATGCGGCTCCAAATGCTACTCAGGATTTTCGCAAAATATGCAAGTAATTTTCATTTGAAATTCTAAATAGTCTTCACTAGAAACTACCTGGTTATATAATAAACCAGAAAGTTTGGTTGTTTGAAGAACAACCAGACTTACTGCAATCATTGAGGATAGATATACTAACTGATCATCCCAATTTTTCAACATTTCAACATTGAGCAGTTGAAATAATGATCTAGTTCATGACTGCCAGTCTCATCAGCAAGAATACAAAAAACGGGGCCTTTTCTTGCGGTGTTTACCTGAAGATGGCCTCTCTTTCTTATTACCACTACTTGTTTCAACATTGTCACTTTCCATTGCATCATTCATTAGAATTGCTGTCAGTATAGAAAACTCAATCCACGAATCCTAACGATATTTCAGAATCACCATCAGTAAAGAGAACACAATCCATGAAACATAAAGATATTTCGACACTCAACAATCAATAACCAGTAACCAGCTGAAGGCAGATGCCAGACTGGACTCATAGATCACTCATGACTGAATAGGTTCTATGAGTGTACCCCCGAAATGGAATTGTCAATAATTAAAGAACACAACTAGTTGCTTACATTTAACTAGACAGTTGCTTACAGTTAACTAGACTGGTTTGTGATACCAGAATGTGCTATTAAACAATTATTATAATAAATGAACTAAACATTTTCTTCTCGTGGTGTCCTCAATTTCGACTTTTCGGTAGGCGTATCTCAGAAAGTAGACTAGAGCGTTAAGTTCGTGACGAATGGAAAAAAAAAACGTGCGCGCCGAAAAAATCGCTACTTGAAAAAACTACGTATTTTTTCAAGTTATGAAAGAAAACAGGTCATATAATAAATAACACAAATTGAATAATGATACAATTTCTTATTTATAGATCTTTAATTGAATGTGAATAAACGGCTATGAATTTCAATTTTTTTTCACTAACAACGAACAACTATGTATAAGACTAACATAAAAAAAGCCATTGATATATTTATGTTGAATTTTTGCAAGAATATCGATTTAATTTCAATTTTTTTTCACTAACAACGAACAACTATGTATAAGACTAGTATGAAAAAAACCAATGATATATTTATGTTGAATTTTTGCAAGAATATCGATTAAATTTTAGATATTGATGAATGCAGAGAAGGAAAGTGTATCAATGGAAGATGTACAAATCTACCAGGTAGCTTTTCCTGCGTGTGTCCTCCTGGATTTGATGTATCTCCTGATGGTTCCATGTGCACAGATCATGACGAATGTAGCGAAATAGGCATGTGTAGTAATGGAATTTGCATCAATATGGACGGCAGTTTCAAGTGTCAATGCAAACCAGGTTTCAAGCTATCTTCTACTGGATTCGCATGTATAGGTTAGTAGTCAAAAATACGTTCAATCAATTATTCAAAACAATAATTCTTTATCATGTTTAATAATTCTAGAACTATTTAAAGCTAAACATTTATCATTCCAGAAACAAGCTACTTTCTAAGGTTTTTGTCTTGGAAACTAGTTTGATATTTTTCAATAATCACAAGAAACATACATATTCATACATATAAACAGATTCAGGGAAAATGGACTGAAAAAAAAAATATGAATCGAACAAAAATTATTCAATCAAATGAGACCTAAATCCGAAATTAAATTGAGATGAACACATCAGTGGAATCCTGTATTATGAATTCAATTGCAATTGAGATTATTTAGAATATTTAGATCGTTTATTATAATTTCATTGATTTTATTTTTATCTAATAGCTTGTAATTTGCTTAGATAAAAAAAATTCATGTGATCTATACTTTATTACAATATGGCGCAGTGGGAAACCCACAGACTGCAAATAAATTATATTTTCCTCTCTTACCACTATCATCGGAGGGTGTATCAAAAGTAATCAGAATAAACCCATTCAACAATGAAAGAGATGACCCAAATATCTTAACTTTTGATGAAGCATTTGACAAAAATCCTCATCGTCGGATCACCATTTCAAATCTAATACGATTTGTTAACAATTGATCTAAATAACTTGAATGAGTCATCCTGACGATGTTATCTATCTTGACTTTGAGAAAGCATTTTACAGTGACCCCTCATGACGGACTATACTATCTGAAGTTAGGCAAGATCAATTGAAGATGTTCAGTTGAAGATGAAACCTTTTATACTAGTTGAATATCAATATCAACTTTGCTGAATTTCACTAGTTCGGACTTTCATGTCTGCTATATAAAATGATTTGAAATCCCTGAAACAACTAAAAAAGAAGAATTGAAAATGAATAGCTGAAAATAACAATTATATTAACCAAAATGAACCTGAAATAAAATAATAGTGAAATAAAATACAAGTAAAAATAGAACAATTGAATAAAAATAACTCGGGTCATGACCCGACCTATTCATTTTCAATTCTTCTTTTTTAGTTGTTTCAGGGATTTCAAATCATTTTATATAGTAGACAATGGAAGTCCGAACTAGTGAAATTCATCATGAAACATTGTCAATTACCTTCAGTCAACTTTGCTATTTACTTGTTTTTTGCTGAACCTGGAGAAATAATAATAATATTTTTCACCTGGAAGATAAGTACTTATTATATTGAGTTGCACAATAAAATATCTGACCGTTTGATAAATTGTAAAAATATCAATTCAGAATGTTTTACAAATACACAGAACGAAGGTAATTGATATCAATAACATGATCAAGAAAAAGAATAAAGATTAAAATTGGCTGAATTTCCTGTCTGATGACTATGTTCCACCTTCTCAACAAAATACCGAGTTTTTAAGGTAGTTTGCAGACAAAAAGAAAAAGATAGGTACTCAAAATGTACATCTCAAATAAGAAAACAACTTTTAAAGAAAATAATGGCAGGAGAAAAAGAAAATTTCAATACAGATCTTTTCGAAATATTACAAGAGAATTATAACTTGAGGGTTTCTGCTATTGTGGAAAAAAGTGCCTGTCTTAGAAACTTCAGGAAAAATTTATATATTGGTGAATGAAAATAATAAACAGTGTATGTTAGAAAGACCCTTTTATGCTAAATCGATACTAAATGATGAAAATGATGTTAAAAGTTGCTACATGACTGAAATACTTAATGATGCAACATATGTGATGGCAGAGTCTGATGAATGTCATGAATTCACTAATAAATCTTACAGAAGAAATTATTCTCATGTCAATAAAAGTGAAAATCAATATAGTATATGAGAACAGTATCCCAACAACGTCTGAACCTTTATAAAGCAAAGAATTTAATGTTCGAGGTTTGAGTTTGAATGAAGATGTGTTCAGTCCAGGAAAGTTTTATTGAGACAGAAACTAGTAATTTACCACAGGTGGACTTATTCATGATTGTAAGTTATGCATTCTGTACCTACTCTTTTTTGTAATAACATCAGTGTCAAATTAAGTTCTATTCTATTCTGGACTCATCCATAGTAGACAATTTGATGATGTCATATACATTGTGTTGTTTTTTTATAAACGGTTTAGTCTTTTCTTTTCTTTACTAGAGAAATCAGATTAGAACACTTGTTTGACTAGACACTAAGAAACCAGACATGTCAAAACCGGTATATAAACAACAGCTCTTGTTAAATTATTGACACAGAACCAGCACTGTTGAAAAAACAGGTTATGAAAACATGAGCTCTGATGTGAACATATATTTACCTCAATGAGAAAAATGACTGTCATTACTATATTTTTCAGATATTGACGAATGTTACGAAAATCCAAGAATATGTCTCAATGGCAGATGTGAGAATACACCTGGATCATATACATGTTCTTGCTTACCAGGATTTGTAGAGTCATCTGACAAAACATTCTGCAGTGACTTGGACGAATGTTTATCTACAGGTATGGATAAAAAATATTCAACACTTCTACAATATTTCACAACAAAATATTTACCCATACTTATACCCATTCAGTTGCCCATAAAAACACATAGTATTTGAACGCATTATCACATTAAATTTTTCTTTTCGGATATGACCCAAGATGAGTACAAATTGATTCAACTTTAAATCTTTCTATTTTTAGGAATGTGTGATCACGGTAAATGCATCAACATGGAGGGTTCATTTCGTTGTGTGTGCGATTCAGGCTACAGATTAGGCCCAGATGGTAGGCACTGCACAGATATTGACGAATGTATTAATAACCCTTGTCAGTTTGGTACCTGTTACAATACACCAGGAAGCTTTCGATGTGAATGTCATGCTGGATTCAGTCTTGGTCCAGATGGACGCTCATGTCTTGACACCCGAAGAGATCTATGTTATCAAGAGTATCGAGATGGATTATGCCTTAATCCTTCAACAGCAGCTGTCACAAAATCGAGTTGCTGTTGTTGTACTATCATATCTGGAAAGCCTATGGGGTGGGGTACTACATGTCAACCATGCCCTATGCCAGGAACAACAGATTTTGATGCTCTGTGTCCACATGGTCCTGGTTCTACTTTTGATGGGAATGATATCAATGAATGCGCACAAAATCCTAATATTTGTCAAAATGGGGCTTGTGAGAATATGATTGGAACGTACAGATGTATATGTAATCCTGGCTTTGAGGTAGACGAGACTGGCAAAGTATGCACAGACATAAACGAATGTGAAGTTGAAGAGCTGGTAAGTAATCTACCGAAACTCAATCTAACAAGTTTATTAATAGGAGTTAAAGTTGGTACTTCAAATCATTTATTTATATTTTTTGCATTTTAAAAAATATGCTTGGAATCGCACGTAGGAAGGTAATACCTCATCTATCCATAGCTCGCAAAAGTTTTTTGGGTGTTGTCGTTCGTAGGGGGCGACAGCTAGTTAACTGAAAAACATATTTTCAAACAGATAAGGATTTTAATTTATCTCTGATGAATTATTTTTTCAAAATCACTTTTTTTTTCATATATAATGAAATCCAATTTCACAACTCTAGTAATAATATGAAATTTCTACATATCCCTTTACTTATTTTTACCCTAAAACAGATACACAAATCTAAAAAGGTAAAACTGGAACCTCTGGCGTTGAATAAATTCAAAACAAACATTTTTCAGTAGATGGAGTTTTCTTCATCTTTTGCATTTTAAAAATTATGCTTGGAACCGCACGTTGAAAGGTAATACATCATTAATCCATAGTTCGCACAAGTCTTTTGGGTGTTGTCGTTCATAGCGGGCGACAGCTAGTTAACTGAAAAACAATTTTTTTTCATATATAATGAAATCCAATTTTACAATAACTCTAGTAATAATATGAAATTTCTACTTATCCCTTTACTTATTTTCACCCTCAAACAGATACACAAACCTAATAAAAGGTAAAACTCGAACCTCTGGTGTTGAATAAATCCAAAACAAACACTGATGAAGTTTTCATCATCTCCCGAAGATGTCAACTAGGTTGATGAAACGCGCGTCGAGAAAAGTATTGCATTTCTGATGATTGAGAAAAGTGCTTAGTGTGGAGATTATCAATCATCAAAGTTCATTATGAAGGATTTTCAGATCGTTATGAGAATTGAAGAAAATGAACGAAATATCGAAATTTACACTTCAAACTTCTATAGGTCTTCACCCACAATATGAATGTCCTTCTTAATTCACTGCGTCAACTCTGGGAATATGATTCTAGTTTACAATTACTCAATTAACGGTTTTTCAGTAGATCCAATTCAATTCTTATTGAATTCATTGGTTTCTATATCTTTGGTCGATATTGTTAGTTAATGTACAATTGCATTAATAGATTTAAATTCAATTATCATTTGAAGTACATGAATTAGCTGAGAAAACATAAACGAAATGTATCATATTTATGAGTTAATGAAGCTCTCTGGCACTCTGATAGCAATATCAACAGATGCTGATTCAATATCATATTTCATGTTGCTGATTATGTTTGATATATTCACATATTATTGACGATTTCTTATAATAGTAGTCATTCACTTCGGGACCCTACCCGGATTCTATATTGTTTCGATTTCATAATCAATTCAAAATGATCCACAGTTAGATAGGTACCCTACAAAACAAAAGACCTCGTGTCACTTCGTGTTGGATTCGAACTCATACCATAAAAGTATATCAAATTAATTTCTTCGTGTTTGAGAGCTATTCTCTATTGTTTGAATAATTTCATTCAGTTGACGGTTTTGAAGAACCTTTCAGAATCTGCTATAATAATAGAATTATAATATAGTTTTTTTACCTATATTCTAAAATTTTCAATTTCTATCTATTTAACGTGACATTTGTATATTCTTATAACTGTCAGCGACTTTTTTGATCTGCCAATAAATACCACTACTACTACTGAAATTGCGCGTTTTTTGAAAGCTAGTGCCACGTCGTGTGATAAGTATATGAGAACAGTATCCCAACAACGTCTGAACCTTTATAAAGCAAAGAATTTAATGTTCGAGGTTTGAGTTTGAATGAAGATGTGTTCAGTCCAGGAAAGTTTTATTGAGACAGAAACTAGTAATTTACCACAGGTGGACTTATTCATGATTGTGGAATATTTCAATAAGAACTGAGATTTTTATCAAATTTTATAATTGAAATTGTTTCTGAAATCGAATTATTCAAGTTAAAGAATTTTGCAGCAATGAGAAATAAAGATGAAGAGATATATTTGAGTGAATTGGTATGTTTAGGTAATGAATGAGGTTTATTTTATTACTTTGAATTGAAATGATACAACAAAAACATTTCTGGTTCTACATCCAATTAGTACACATACTTTTTTGGGACTTTTTTTTAGTAATAGTGTTGATTCATATGTTAATTATCGCAGAAACTGAGAACATACTACTCAGATGAAAAATCAGCAATTAACATCATTTCAAAGAATTTTTAATTTATCAACACACGATGTTTTCAAGAAGTTTCCTTTTTGAATTGTTAGATCAATTGTACAGGTATGCAGTGGTGGCCAATGCCGAAATACTCCTGGCAGCTTTCAGTGCATTTGTCCTACTGGAACACAATTGAATCAACGAAATTACGTCTGTGAGGATATTGACGAGTGCAGAGAACTTGGTCCTGAGGCATGTTTCAATGGAGAGTGCGTGAATGTCCTAGGATCATACAAGTGTGAGTGCGATCCTGGATCAATACTGGATAACACAGGACGTATCTGTATAGGTAATGCATATTTTTAAAACTGCTAGGCTATACTTTCTAAACCCAGGGAGATCATTTACCCCATTGAAATTCAGATTTATTCGATTAGTAATACAGCATCTAAATTTGAGTTTTGCTCGCCTTTAATGTAACAAATATTTTTATAGTTGGTTCACTAAAGTATATGATATATCTGTAGAATTTCGATTTTCAATTATGGAATATCATTGACTTTAGGTCGATGATAGTCACTATCTTAAACTGACGAGTGGCTAAGGAGCCTGAAACCGGTCTGCAAGTGTGCCCGTTCCAAAATCGAAGGTCGACTCTTTCAGTTGTATTGTCAATTGCATATGCAGGAAATTTTCTGTGGAGATTCCTGCACTGACGCCTGTCGGATGTAACCCAACGCCGTTCGTGGTATTAGCCAACGGAGTAGTTGTTTTCTGATATGCGTCAGTCCATTCAACCTACTGTGTAGGTATATCCGAGACGGTCTTGAACAGTTAAAGTTCATTTCTTTAGATTTATTTCCAAAAGACTTTTACCGTTCATGTTCATGTCTGAGTAGTTGTTTTGAAAGATTTTTTTCTTCCAGTTTCTGGAAGAAACGTCAGTATAAAAAGTTTCTACTGTACTTAATTATTTTCTTTCTTCATTTCTCTACAATTTTTGTTCAATGATAGGGAAGTAGAAAGCTGAAAATATGTTCCTCTAAAAACTAATCTATCCTAAAAATAATCCGTTTTCCATTTGACTTAAGTTTAATTTTTTGAGAAACTATAAATATGTACCTTTTGTCCTTATTTTTATTGGGAAACTAATTTTACCCTTCCATTAATAATGAAATGCATATCTTTTTTTTGTCTATTGTTAGTTTTTTCATGGTTTATACTGTTTCTTGAATATTTTGCAAATTGTAATGTCCTTACTTCAGATACCATATATAACATTAATTATAGGTACCTACTTGAATCATCACTTTTGAAATGCGCACACAAAAAGCAATATTACCACATTTCGCCCAGTACTCAAACTATCCAAATAACACAGAACAGAATAACAGAAGGAATCCATTATTTATCGGATAATTTTCAAGTTTGACATTATAGGTATGTCAAGGAACGTCAATACAACTTACTCGAATTTTTTTGAGATAACCTCACTTATTTGTTTTTAATTAAGAATAGTAGTACTGAAAACATGATTTTTTTCAATAATAAATCAATGACAATAATGAATAGAAATATTGACTATTGGTAACATCTTGTGGCAATGTCAGAAATACTACTGGTCTACAAGAAATTCTGAAATGAAAGCCCATCCCAGCAACCAACAGTGTATCTTATATATAGGAACCTTGCAGTATATCATCAGGCATCTTTTGATAGTGGGTTTTTGCAACACAAGACTAAGAACTGAAAGTTCGAGCATAACAAATTTATGAGAGCGTTTATGGAAACTTGACCAAGGCTGAGAATTAAGAACTGTGCCTAGTAAGTTGGCCAGCATTCTACTAGCAACTTAGATCTTATATGATCTAAGCTTATGTCAAATCGAAATATTAACAACTGTCATCGACCCCAAAAATTCGAAAAGAATTATTTCAAATTTGTACCTATTAAAATTATGGGAAAAAATGAATGGAAGAGTGTTGAATATTAATTTTATTTATATGGAATTATTTTCAGTAGTATAGAAAAATCAAATGAAGAATAATTACGGTCATATTAACATGTGCATAAGCCAGACACTTTTTAGGTATAGTTTTCGGGTTTAGTTCTTAGGTATTGTTGCATAAACCCGCTATGTTCACTAGTTCACTCATTACTCCTCCTCAAGCTCGGAAAAACTGAAAACATTCAATTCACTAACTGTCTCAAATTGATTCAAAATAAAAGCATTCAACAATGTTTCAGTAGTGTGAGAAATTATTCGGTTTGGCAACTGTTTGGGAAGATCATGTACAAATGAAAAGTTATTAATTATAAAATTGATATTTCCAACATAGAGAGTGAGTAATAATTTCCTTCAGATAACCGTAAGGGATCATGTTGGACCACTTTGAACAGAGGAAGATGTGAAAATGACTTGCCCCAACTGAGTAGAAGATCGGAGTGTTGCTGTTCTGTTGGAGTTGCTTGGGGATCTCCATGTGAACGGTGCAACAGAAACGAATGCGATTGCCCTAAAGGATATGCAAAGAGTGATGGAAAAACTTGTACAGATATCAACGAGTGTGATTTGAATCCTGATATTTGTAGGGGAGGAGGCACTTGCGTCAACACCGATGGAAGTTTTACTTGTTCATGTCCTCCAGGTCTCACACTTGATGAAACTAGTAAGTAAATTGATATTGATTCAATTATTTGATACATTTATTATACAACTCCAGAATATTATCTTCAATTTAATTTCGAATTTTTATTTCTGTGATTTAGTCCATAATCAACTTGAATATAGCAATCACTGGCTCATAAAAAAACTTCAATTCTGATGTTTTTTCAACTTCTATTTGAGAAAAATCACTCTCTCATTTTGTTTGAACAAAAATTTATAGAAATTCTTTTTTTCAAAAATGTTACAAGTTAATAAATCTTAACTCTTGGGAAAAAAGGTTATTGGATTTATAGGGTCTTGAAAAAATGACATGTAACACAGTGATATGAACATTCAAGTGTCAAGAAGTGAATGTTCTTTTAAAATGAGGACGCATTGAACAAAATGCCTGGAATAAAGATAAGACCTTTGACTGCCTGGCTTGACAAGAAAAAGGCAAGTGGTATATGAAATTAGATAGTAAAAGATTTAATCAAATAGTTTTTCATTCAATGAACCTATACAAGAAAACTGGAAACAGAATATTAAAATGTATGTTTCCAGTGTTTTCATTTGAGAAAAATCAGAATTCCTGGTGCAATTGCATTTTAATTTTCCATTTTGAATAATATGGTCTCAGGATGAGAGTAGGTATAATTTCCATTACTAAACGTTTTTTCTGAGAAAGTTTTGCATTTGTAGGAAATAAAACCCCAACGTTCTGATAGCGCATATTCTAAAGTTACATTCAGTTGAATGTGATGGCAGTCTTGAACATGTTCTATGAAGGTAGATGTGTAGTTATGCTTGATTCATGTGAATACTTCAAAGAGAGTGGATGTTAGAAACTCCATTTCCAAACCAATGGATGTTATAACTCGTTTAAACGTGGTCCATGTTTCTACGAATTGCGTCAACAACGTTCTAACAGTACAATCATTTTATTGACGTTAATAAATCTCTGCAGGAATCTCTATGATTGACATTACACAAACATCTCGCAGCTCTTTTCCGCATACCATTACAGAAGAAAGAAGGGTCGGTTTTGTCCTGCATTATAAATTGACTTAACTATTCGACTTGAATTTATTTTTCAATGAATTGTTTTGGATTGCCATATTGGTCATCGATAATTTGAAAGGTGGGATTCATTTTTCACTGAGAGAATAAACGTTTACAGTCATTCACAGCGAAGAAATGTAAAGGTTTACTAGGTTTGTTTATATCGAATTAATCGAAAAAAAATTAACAAGTTTCAAAAATAGAAAACTTTATAACTTGAAAAATACCTTGATAATTTCATGCCATGTTTTCTTCTACATCCAGGCGAAATCCAGGCTACTAGGCCATGGTCAAATGTAATCTCAAGTACTAATCGTTTCGTCTGCGCTACTGCGGATGACATCATCAGTGGTATGTGCATTTACTGCGAGGACGAAAGTTATATCTTGAAGTCTCAGCAACGAAAGATTCGTCTGCCGGAGTAGCATAGAAAGCATTTGGTACTTCAGGTTCCATTTTGTTCCCTTCAACAGTAATCCAAGTCTTGAAAGTCTATATTAGTATATTTTTCATCTATATTTACACCTAAAAATTTTGACACTGAAAAATATTTGTATTCTTTTTCATAATTTGATAGGATCTTCTTACTGATTGAAATGTGGTTTTTAGAAATGAGCAGTAACAGACATTTTTCAGACTTAGGAAAAAGGTTCATTGCAAATTGATATTTTTCTTAAATACTCAAAAATATAACTTTTTATATATTTTGTTCATAATATATATATATACAGTGTCACACATAAAGTCCGCATCAAATGGGATTGATTGATTGCCTCACCAATACAGACGAATTGTTTTCTTTCCGGTAAATCATTTTGGACCAAATTATGAACAATGTTCCTAATATCTAAGCTTTATAATACATCAGGAATTATAGAGTCAAACATATCATTACTATTTTTATAAACGATTCGGTGTCTACTTTTACCTTATTACCTCAAACACATTCACCAACTTGATAAAAAGCACTGAGGTTACTGTCTCATATATAACAATTTCATAATAAATTTGATTATCAATAACCTGAATTTTAAATTTAGATTATAGCAGAGAAGATTGTAAATTTAATAATATTTTCAAAAAATATATTCTAGGAACGAAATGTTTGGATATCCGTCAAGAACAATGTTACACAAGATACAAGCATGGGAAATGTGTGAACCCAGTTGATGGTCTCTTCCACAGAAATCTATGTTGCTGCTCTCTAATTGGAAAAGCTTGGGGGGATAGATGTGAACCTTGTCCAAGAGCTGGAACAGCAGCATTTTCTGAGTTATGTCCAAAAGGTCTAGGTTACCTCGATAAGAAGGATATAAATGAATGTACTGATTTCCCGGGAATGTGTCAAAATGGAAGATGTAGGAATACGATTGGTGGATATAGCTGTAAATGCAATAAAGGATATGACTATGATGATAGCAAAATAAGATGTATAGGTGAGTTGATTTAATATTAACTATTATAGGTTGTTGAAGAAATTGATGTAACATTAAATTATATTATTTTTGTCATTTTTATGTAGGTGCAAACCAACTAATTACACTGAATTTAGAAAAAATTGAAATAGACTCAACAAAATAACTAACAAACAGAATCAAATCAGCATGTGAACTTTTTTAAATATTCCCACTACCACTGAAGAAGAAAAAAATCTATGGAAGCATGTATTATGAAAATTGGTAGATAAACGCCATACTCATTTTCACCAGTCCACTGACTCTAGAGAAATAACAAACCAAAAGGAAATTGAAATTGCTTCCGTTGGAGAAAATGTAACTCATCCTAGTAATGTGCAAAGGAAAGACAGTATAAAGTGGCTTTTACACTCGGGAGCATCAGAGCATATGGTTAACGATGAACGTTATTTTACAAACTTAGAACCCCTAGAAGTGCCAATAGAAATTACTGAGGACAAAAACAAACACAATAACAGTTACGAAGTCTGGAAATATCTAAACTTAAAAAATTCAATCATTTTTGTTTACAAGGTGTTATTTGTACCGAACTTGAAATTTAACACAATGAGTGTATGAAGGAAAAGGTTTTACAGTGACCTTCAGTCATGGAAAAGCTGTTTTTTCAAAAAATAACAAATTCTGCTTGGACGCTAAAGGGCTTGTTTCATGCTATGGAAAATGATACTGATTTGCTTATAGACTGATTGAGTTAGGGGTATATTATACTTATCAAGCCTAATCGGTCCCAAGATCTTTTTATATTTACAGAAAAAAGAACAATTCGAAAAGCAAGAATTTAAATTGGCCGCGTGTCTGTTGACCAATAAAATTGATCGTGTCTAGAGCGGAGTTGCCAAGTGTATTGGTTTTTAATATCCACTCACAGATCTGATGATACAATTTGACAGATGCCATTTTTGTTGTTATTGTTGTCAACTCTGTGTGAATACAACTGTTACAATTATCTAATTAAATAATTTTTTGTAAAAGATAGGTCTCGGCGGGTGCCTATTTTGCTGCATATTCCGTGTCATCAGTTTACATTCCGAAAAATATTTTTTCAGGTTATTTTTGGATTAAATTTTACCTTACAACCACAAAAATGGTTAAACATGTTTTATACCTAGTTGTAAAAACAGATCGTTCATACCATACAAAAAGTTTTTCAGTGTTCCAAAAAACGAAACTCTAAGAGATCTATGGTTTTCTTTAGTTGGCCGAGCTAAAATAAAAATTAAATCTAAACTTTCCATCCTTGGTCAATCGAACAAGAAGCGAACATAGGGTCGTCACGTCACCACCCTACCAAATTCGATTTTCAATAATTAATTACGGGAAAACTACGGTACTTAGAGAGATGAAACAAAGTGCACTGTTTTTCAATTTAAAATTTCTATCAAGTGAACTTTAAACCAAAAATCATGAAACAAGCCCAATGGGCCAGCGATATGAACACAAGAAAGCCTATTACAGGTTTTGTAATCAGAGTCTTTGGAAACTTGGTGCAGTGGTCGTCTCGTAAACAAAACTGTGGACCACATGACACCGAAATACATGTTTGAAACGACCTTTCTACTTGGAGCCTTGAACTGATAAATGTGGAAAATAAGCAGTATTTCCAAAAACATGCTTTGCAGGAACCCCTGGTATACAGATGGGTAGAAAACCAATCGGTATACAACACTTACATCAAGACTAGTCTAGAAATTCTGTAGAGAACTGAGAAAACTGACGGACAGGTTTGTATATGTTTGGAAAAAACTTACAGATGGAAGTAAGAAGTTGCTTGGCACTCGATGGAAAATCAATATCATCATCAGTTACGAAAAAAACAAATAAAGACATCTTGGGAAATTTTTGAATTCTCCCTTCTCTTTCCATTATATATGAAACAAATATGTTTTTTGTTGCCATGGGTGCTACCATCAAAACCTACACAATTTTTCCGACCTTCCAAAACAAGAATACTCATTAATGGGAAAGCAAGCATGTGGTATTGAATATATACTGTGCGATACTGTTTTTTAAAACATGTTTTCCGAGTATATTTCAGTTCTTTGATATCAATAACTTTCAAATTTTCTAGTAGGGGAAGTTTGAAATAAATTGAACTACTTCTTTTATTATTTCTGCTATTGTCGAAATTACAGTGAGAACATTAGTCCAGTAAATATGCACCATACATAAACATTTCTTCAAAATGAAAAGAGAAATGAAAATTTCTATGTTTTTCACCACTTTTATTTGTAACTAACGTTACTGCAGTTTCGTCCTATACGGACATTTTCAAACTTATACAAGTTTATTGTTTAAGTTTGAAAATATCCATATAGGACGAAACTGCAGTAACGTTAGTTACAAATGAAAGTGGTAAAAAACATAGAAATTTTCATTTCTCTTTTCGTTATGATTTCCTAACATGTAGTAACCGCTACATCCATCAATTTATTTCTTCAAAAGATTCCGAACTGGTTATAGTTTCAAAAAAGAAAGAGCATTTTTATTTTGAATCAATATACATGCCGATCATTTGAAATAAAAAATATGTGGTTTCAGGTTCATTTTTCTGCCCTATTATCCGATATTGTATGGGAACAGATATCTAGAAATGTGTCGCATGTGTTTAAAGTTCAGGTTACACCACGTCTAGGTGTAATGATGAATGGGAACACTTTTTAATATTGAGATAAAGAAATTACTATTGCAGAATTGCTACTACATACTCGAAGAATTTCAGCATGAAACTTTCTCTTGATAATTTGAAAGAATTTGGTAGTTGCATTTTTATTCGAATTGTGGCTTGTTGCACAATCATATATTCGATGTAAATTTTTGTGTTCTTAATGTTTTGAATTATATCTATAAATTGATGTATGTAGCCATTACTACTTGGTAGGAGGATGAAAAATGAGAATCAAAACAAATTATATCTATTGCTTTCTTGTAATATAATAAGTGAATAAAATGACATTCTAGCTTGAAGAACTTCACTTTTATTGATAATCAGAAAATTGGAAGTTTATTGAATGATCAATTTCATCATAGGTTTGTGGATGTTTTGTCTTGAATTCTTTAAAGTTATTTTCATAAAAATTTGCTTTCGACTTCATTTTCATACTAAAAATTGAACGTTAAAATGTGAGACAAGACAGCTTGTTAACAGAAGAACCCATTTTGACTCTTTATTTGCTCTTAAACTTTATTGACAATCTTTTTCAGAAAAAAATGATGCAGAATTTGAAACCTTTTCACTTTGTAAAAGTAGAAAGGTGATTTGTTAACATTTTTCAGGTTTTATTTTGTAATGATATCAAAATATATTTTGTATACTGTCAGTATATGGGATATGGAATGTTTAATAACTGAGTAATAACTTTTTTCCATGATTCAAAGGTGTTATGTTTCAACATATTTAAGGTGATAATATGTAAATGAAAATCAGAGTGGTAATTGTGTTATTTAAATTAGATATCATTCTTATCATGTTTCAGTAATTACTAAATAACTATTTTGAACTCATTGTGTTACAGATATTGACGAATGTAACCTTACAACAGATAATGTTTGTGGAAATGGTGTTTGCAAAAATATACCAGGAGATTTCGTTTGTGAGTGTAACAAAGGTTACAGAACAATGGCTCCAATGCAGATTTGCATGGGTAGGTTCTCTGTTATTTTACTATTTCATGTGTAATTATTACTCAATTATAATTTTTATTTGTAGATATTGACGAGTGTGAGGAAATACCAGGACTCTGTAGAGGAGGTAGATGTTTAAACACTGAAGGTTCTTTCAAATGTGAATGTCCTATCGGCCATGAGTTATCATCTGATAAGGAGAGTTGTAAAGATATTGATGAATGCTCACGTTCTAGTGGTATTTGTTCGAATGGAGTATGCGAAAACATGATGGGAACATATCAGTGCATTTGCAACGAAGGATATCAACAGACTGGGCTGAAATCTCATTGCGAAGGTGAATAATTGATTTTGGAATATTTTATTCAACTTTTGGTTTTCATAAAGGTAGATGTGAAATTATCTTGATGTATGGGATGTTTCGTAAGCACTCTAGTTTCTTACAATATTTCATGAAGAAAAGTTCCTATGAACATTGATTCAGAGCATTAATTTTCAGAGATACGATGTGTTGATAGTCAGAGTGAAAATACAAATTTTTTTAGATATCTTGAAAGCTACTAACAATCAATAATTCATATATTAGTCATAAGAATGCCATATGATATTGATGATCTGGTGAAGATCGATATTGACAATACGAAGTCAGTGATGCATACATAGGGTTTGTGAAACTTAAAATTTTAAAAATTATCAGATTTAATGATTTTGTGATTTTTCAGAAAACCCATTCATTTGTATGCAAAACAATTGATCTTGTTGCTATTTGGTTAAAGTGATATCTTTTCTGAAAAATAGACTGATTTAATTAGGTGCACCTACTTATACTTTCTCAAAATTGTAAAAGTCAGATACAAAATTGGTCATTGGTGTTCATCTGATTGGAAATATTTTCTTCCTCCTCAATTTAATGATGTTATTTATAGATATTTTCTAGTCACACTTCAGTCGTATCACTCGTTAATATCTCGACAACACTTTCATGTCTAAAATATACTGTTTCTCTTCACTTGCCCGATTTTTATTAGATATTTAAAATTACGGTAATGAGTGATTATGTGCACTTAATTGAATTGGTTTATATTTCTCGAAAACAGTCACTTCTACTAAAAAGTAGGATTGACTGTTCCAAGTAGTTCCAAGATATTTATTAACTTTGTTAATTTTCACTCTCAAAACCACGTCTCCCTAATGAAGAAGTATAGAATGTACTGAAAGACCTAATTTTTTATTTAAATAAAAAAAAACTACAATAAAAACTCCTTACGAAGATGTATAGATCAAGCACAGAAACATTTTTCAGATACAAACAGACATACTTTTTCTTTTAGTTTGTATCTGAAATAAACTTACCTGCACCATCAACATACCTTTGTGAAGAGTTTTCATTGTAGTTATTTTCTGTCTATCTTTCTGTGGAAGTTTTCCACAACTGCTGTTTGATGATGGAAAAGTAGAAAGCCAAAAAACATTTTTACCATAGTTTTGTTGAGCAAAATGTAATAAACTAATTACTTGTTCATGGTTTACATTATACTTTGAATAAGTCACCATTATTCAAAGTGTTTTCAAAATCAATTATCAATTTATCTCATTCTCAAATAAATATTGCAATAAATAATGAGTTCCATATTGTTTTAGATATTGATGAATGTGAAGACGAACCTTGCGACGACATTTGCATAAATTCACCTGGAAGTTTCTCTTGTTCTTGTGGGTATGCTTTTGATAATACTTGAAAAGTTCGCAGCATGATTCACTTTTGCGTTGTAGTTCTGGATATACTTTGAATTTGGATGGAAAATCTTGTGCTGATATAGATGAATGTAAAGAAAATCCGAGAATATGTAATGGTGGTAAATGTACCAATACAATTGGTAGTTACATCTGTCATTGCACTGAGGGACTTCTTGCAGGTGTCAGAGGTACCTCTTGTCTTGGTAAGAGATTTTTTTATACTGATTCAATAATTTGTTGAATTGATTTTCCTCAAATCTTAATATTTTGTAGATATTGACGAATGTAAGCAAAATCCAGACATTTGTGGGGCAGGTGAATGTGTGAATACCCTTGGATCGTTCCACTGTAGATGTGAAGAAGGATATTCTGTTAAACCTGATGGCGGTCCTCAGTGTTCAGATGAAGATGAATGCTACCTAGGAACCTATGACTGTGATGAGAATGCCGATTGTATCAACAATCCCGTAAGTGTCATATGTTTAAGAACTTACCTAATTAATGAATGCTTCAAAAGTAGAAGTGGATTTACAAAAAAACAATCATTCACATTCTGCATTTTTTTTACTTAAGGTTCAACAGATTCTACTTTGCATCAAAACGTTTTTCCAGAAGTTATTGAGTTCACTAATCAGCTGCGGTTTTATTTGCCATAACTAGTTATCGTTCATAAACTACTGTTGTCAGATTTCATTCAGTTATGTCTGATATTTTTGAAACGGAATCTAGACAAAGTTTTTTGGTTAGTTTATTTTCCAAATCTAACAAAATTTTGTAATTATAGAATGTTTCATTTCCTCAATTATTATTCACATCTTTTTAATATTGAATATGGAATATTTTCTCCAAAATAGTGCTACGGTGCAAAATATATACTTTTGAATGGCAATAGTAAGCCAAATTAAGAGACAGCCTCCTTCATAAGTGTTATTTACATTCACTTATTCTTGCTTTCATATTGTACCTGATACCTAAGGAACTAATGAACACAGGTTATGAATCAATAACGCTTCAATGTTTTTTTTTTATTAAAAATATAAGACACTGTAAATATAAAATATGTTGTTATCCTCCTTAAGCAGCAAAAATGCTGGTCTCGGGATTCACTAACATTCAACATGACAAGTGAAACACAAAAACTAGTAAACCACTACAAAGCTCATAGCATCAACATATCAGACATGTGCCTCGAAGCTCAGATGTTCTTTTAAACTATTGATGAATGAACTATAGCCCGGCAACTCACGTATGTGGGCAGGTAATTCATTGAAGACTTTTATAGCCTGTATAAAAGGATTGTATAATCTTTTGTTCATTCTTACCATGCTCAGGTGTAAGTCATTTCTACCTCTTGTATTATACTCATAAAACTGGTTGTTGACTAGTAGATCGTTGTTGCTTTCGATTCTTTTGTTTTTTATTTTCCGTATGTTCTTGTATTGCTTAAGTTTAAGTAGATATTTAATTGGATGTAGTTCAGCCTGTGAGAATAAATCATTTGTGTGGGTTCGAGATGGAATTTGAAATAAAATGTTTATTGATTTATTTTGCAGCGTTTGAATTTTTTTAAATTAGTAATGCCACAATTACCCATATGATTAACAGATACCTAAGATTCGTCAATATATATGCATTGTAAACCAAGTATCTATTACTGAAACTCAAGTAACTTGAACACATATATAGAGCTCCTAACATTGGTACAATTTTATCATTAAATCGTTCTATGTGTCCTGAGCAGTTTAACTTATCATCTATTATGAGTCCCAAATACTTGGTTTTTGCAACATTCATTAAGGGTAAGTTATTTATTCTTAATTCAATATTTCCACAAATTCTATTTTTTGTTTAAAGAGCATGTAAACGGTTTTTGCAGAGTTCACCTTAAGTCTATTATGTACAAGCCAATTTGAGTATTTAGAGAGATCTTCATTAACTGTGTTCTCCAGTAAATGTAAATCATATCCGCTGTACAAAAGGACCGTGTCATCGGCGAACGTGTAATACCTTCCCTTAAGTCCGGCCTGCCTCAGTGACAGTACCATTAGTGCATAGAATAGGGGCCCCAAAACGGAACCCTGTGGTTTCGTTTTGGGGCCCGTTTTGGAGCCCCTGGGGCTCAGTCATGCTCTCACCAACAGCGACAAACTGGGATCTTTCCTTTAAAAATATCTCAATGAGAGAATGAGTTTTGCCCCTTATACCCATGCAACATAGTTTTGTTCAGAAGAACAGTATGGTCAACAACGTCAAATGCTTTCCTTAAATCAATGAACACTGCAATAACCATTCTTTTTTTATCAAATTTCGATGTAATATTATGAATGAAATCTATTGTAGCGCTTAGAGTGCTGCTACCCTTGATAAAACCATACTGATACTCATCAAATCCCACATAACGATCAACAAAGTCCATTATTCTTGTCTTTATTATAGTTTCAATAATTTTAGACAATGAGCACACAATTGTCATAGGTCTATAAATTTCTAAGTTTTTGTTATCACCACCTTCAAATTTTGGTATTACTTTTCCAGTCTTAAGTATCTCAGGAAATATCCCCGCTTTGAAAATATCGTTTATCAAATTAACGAGTATGGATATGACATTTTTTTCAATTAATATTATATCTTCAACGGATATGTTGTCTTGCCCTGCTGCAGGGTTTTTATTGAGTGCAACTATGACTTCAGATACCTCTTTAGCATTGGTTTCCGTTAGGAATACTGAGTTGCCACACGATAGTTCCTCAAAATCTACACTTTCTATATTGATATCTATATTGGAAATAATTGATTGACCTATGCTAGTAAAATACCTGTTGAACATATTTGCCACCTCTTGAGGGTCAGTGATAGTTCTATCATCTGTAACTAATTTAATTGACTCGTTTTTTTCCTTCTTTATACTTATTATCGAGTTTATTACTCTCCATTGTTTTTTTGCATTGTTACCTGCTTTTCGCCATTCTGATTTGAAATAAATCGATTTTTGTTTCCTTATCTCATTGGTAACTTTATTTTTGAATACTTTAAAGTCCACCCACAATTTATTTATATTTTCAGAATTTGGATTTGTTCCATTTATTTTTTTATATATACTATCTCGTTCTTTTATTAAGTTCAATAGATCATAGGTCATTCAATCATTCCCTTTGCGATTTTAATTTTATCTTATAACTAGAACTCTCTTTACATGCATTTATTACCTTTGTTAGCGTATCCATTGTGTCAATGGATTCACAATTGTGTGACACATCCCTAAATTTTTCTTTGAATAAATCTTGCTTAACTACACTAAAGTTTGTAAGTATCTTTGGTTTATAGTATACAGGCATCTACATTGATATTTAATGGCTTATGATCGCACAGAGCATAGTTGTATATTGAGACATCACACTTAATATTTTTATTAAACAGTACATGATCCAGTAGAGAATTCGTTTTGCTTGTTTGTCGAGTTGCATTATTCTGATCAACTATGTTACATAGTCTAAAACCACTCATAGTTACCACATCAATGTATTCTTTTGTTTTCTCCGAATCAGCATTCAGAAGATTGATATTCATATCTCCCAGTACAATAGTTTCATTCTTTTTATTACATAATATATTCTGAAATATATCAATAAATTCCCTGAACTGATATTTAGGTGGTCTATACATACCATATATTTGCAGATTTAAAGATTTTAACGAAACTGCCATTAAATTATATTGATCAGATCCATCAACTTTTTCTATCACACTGAAATCAATATGTTCACAAATATATACCGAAACACCTCCAGCTCTTCCTTCTCTGCAGGAATGAACAGCCACATATTCATCTAGATAAAAAAATTGAACTTCATTGTCAGATAGCCACGTCTCCGTCAATACCAAGATATCACAGCCATTTGTTTTTATAAAACAATGTAGTTCGTCCAACTTATTACGCAAACTTTGCATATTAACATAGCAAATGTGAAGTTTGTTTGCCAGTCTAAGAACTAGTTTTTTAGGTCATCTTCGTCATTCCTCAGGTTAACGTTATTATATTCAGTCAAAAAAGTAGGAAATTGATAACTCAAATTTATTACATTTTCTGCATGTGCTAAGAATATATCTGTTTTTACATGTTACAAAATTATTACAAATTTTACCTTCGTTTAAATGGCATTCATGAATTAAAACATGGGTCTTCAAATTTTGGTATATTATTCCTTGTTTTATAAAGAGTACCTGTGAATGTCGATATTTTTTTCGAATATACTCTTGATGCAATTTTCATTGAATTTGAAAGATTTTGAAATGATGAAAAGTAATACCGGCTACAATTCAAATTGAACTGCTTTTACAATCTTAAGACTTACTTCATCAAAACCACAAGTTTTATTCGAATCTAGTTGTGAAATGACATATTTGATCCACTTGTTGATTTCAAAAACATGGATGAAACACTTGATATTTCACTATTAGTGTCGAAACAGAAATTTTAGATAATAATAAAAATATGAGTCTTTATTTCCCATAGATAATATACATATAAATCAGATTCATAAAAAAGAGCAATATCAAGACACTGGGGAAACGCCAAAGATCAGGTGGTCTGTGTATCTGGTGATAGACAGACCTCTCTTATTATTCTTGAGATGCCAATATACTACAAAATGAATATTCGATTCTTCACAGATTTGATCTGGATCTTCAATTTTCATATTATTCATTCCCAAACTCCTTATTTGTTTATTATTATTAGGTGTGTTATGCAATAATGAATACCATTCCAAAAATCATCTTCGGAGTGGCATCAGTGAATTGTTTTCGGTAATATTGCAATTGAATTTACTATTCGTTGGAGGAGATGCTGTGCGTCATTTCATTCCAGTAACTGGAAATCTATAGTCATTTTGTTTGCACTAAACTTTCACGTAATAACGTGACCTTTTTCCAACTAACAAAATTAAATACAGTTCATCAGCGCCCTGAACCAACTATTAACCAACTATTAGTTCATAAGAATCTATGGTACAAGACTAGATCAGGAAACTTGTTAGGATAGAGAGCACTGCAAAAAATCACCTGGTTCCTTATTTTCAAATCAGGTGAACTCTCACATCGAGAGAAAAATTGGCCGTTTATCTCGGTTATACTTTCAAAACAGAGAGTGACATCCAATTTTTTTCTCGATGTGAAAGTTCAACCGATTTAAAAATAAGGCCTCTGGGAACACACACACTGGGACTGTCAGAAAAAAAGACTGAAAAACTGTTTCAACACACCAGAGATCGACTTAGAATAATTACAGCACTACCCACTAGTCATTGTGAATTTAAAGGAAACCAAAACAAAATATGGCTTTATAACAGACATAGCACAGATATAGCTCATCATGTGAGGTACTGGATCACAGGAGGCAAACAACTTAAGAGACATCTCAAATTATTGTCCAGAAGATTATGATGAATATTCAACACAGGACCAGTTCAAACTAGTACAGGGAACAAGATTATTGAAATATGTGTAGGAGGAAAAACTCAGAGGCTGCGGGGTTTTCCGGATACTTGAAAGAAAAGGACAAGTCAGATGACTCCCAAGTAGCAAAAAATCTTTCTGTGTTTTTCAATTCGACTCATTTGGACTTTGTCCAGCATATTTCTGACGTATGCAATGCAAGCAATACAATAAGCCCGCAGTGAGGAATGTGGAACCTTACTGAGTCCAGTAAGCCTTGACAACTGCACCATACCAATCAAGTCGAACTTCGACATTGAGTGAGCTTCAAACCAATTTTAGATCTTGATCATTCTTCTGGCTCGTTCTCCTCTAGTTACTTACTGTCTGTAGATATGGTCCTCAGAATCTTTTCTTCCGGTTATTATACCTATGGGATGGTGATTTTTTTTTTTATGTTTGCCAGCTCTGCATTCCACTTGCTGTCCATTTGTCATTCTCAGACTTCAGTTTTTGGCGACTTGAGTGAGCCAACTCTTCGACATCCCGGTCTTCTCTCAGCCGTAGTCTATCGTCGAAACGTAGTGGGTGCTTTTCAAAGAACCGCACTACATTGGTCTATGAACGTTCTTCTCTTATTTCATTTGTTGTTTTTTTTTTTTAATTGAAAGGGGTATATTTTTAGGAGGGATTACTTTTTTGGAAAAGGTTTTGGTTTTCTACTTCGCTATCATGGAAGATTCCCATATTTTTTTGTATAAAAACGGAGAAGTAGAAAGCCAAAACCTTTCTTTACCAAAAAAGTGATTTTCAGTTTTTTCCAACAATTCGCAGATGGTTATATACTTCAACGTCATCTTACAATTATATCAATTTTTTTATTCACCAGCTGTCACTGCTATTACTAGTGATTTGCTGTCTATAAATCTTTCGTAATTCATACAGCAATAGAAGGAATCTCAATAGTTTTCGTCCCTTCTCTATTTCTCTCAGTATGATTCATCGTCTCGTCCAATACCTTCTCATTCTTAATAGTATAGAATTTGCTTCAAAATATAACTCGTTTCTATATTTTCATTTATCTATTTCAGGGGTCTTATCAGTGTAGATGCCAAGATGGTTTTACTGGAAACGGATTGAAGTGTAGAGACATCAATGAATGCTTAACGAATAATGGTGGATGTGATCAAAATGCACAATGTATAAACAACGATGGATCATTCAGATGTGAATGCGACGCTGGTTTCAAAGGAGATGGATATAGTTGCACTGACATTGATGAATGTTCAAACGATCCAAGCTTATGCGAAAATGGCCAATGCCTGAATTATCCTGGTTCTTTCCGCTGTGAATGTGAAATGGGTTTCATGCATCCAAATGAAGGATCTGATCAATCTTGTGTTGGTCAGTAAAGCCCATATGGGACAACTATTTCAGAACAAATAACTCTATTCAAAAATTACTAACATTATGTAGCGACGAGGATAACCATTTAACTATGACAGGAACTAACTTTTAACAATTAACGGGATTCCACTATCAACTAACTAACTGTAACTAATCTTCTAATTACGAAGTCCTGTTTTAATTCAATTCAACTTTCAGATATAAATGAATGTGATATGTTCAGTAATTTATGCGTATTTGGGAAATGCGAAAACACATTTGGCTTCTTCCGTTGTGAGTGTCATGATGGATATAAATTAGATGGTTCTGGCGGCAATTGTACAGATATCGATGAATGTGAAAGTCCCCAATCTTGTCTTTATGGAGACTGTACAAACACAGATGGAAGCTTTCGATGTATTTGTCCAGATGATCATGAACTTGTGTCAGAAGGAAATGCTTGTATTGGTAAGTGCAAAAGGCGATTCATTAAACCTTTAATAGAATAGAATAGAGGAAAATTCATTGGAACTAGATCATTGAATTATATATAAGTCAAGCAGAGCTGAAGCTGTTACTATATTAATGAATTTTTGCATAATAAAAATCAAAATTGTATAAATGAAATGAACGAATTCAAGAGAATATTAAAGAAGCATCATTGTTTAAAATCTTTCGCAGAGTCATTTTTTTCTTATCCTTAGTACTGATGATTCAGATCGTTTTTCTCTGTTTTCATATGGATGATATGTGAAATAGTAGTTCAAAAGTAGTAAAATGGTTTTCTGTAAAAATATGTGTAAACAAATCAATAACATAAATATAATATATTAATATGTTATTCCAGACATAATGGACACCACAAACACGAACTTGAGCATAAGTCAACAATCATATATAAATTATTTGAATAATTGAAAAATCATTAAAAATTTATGATTCCATGAGCATAGTTACACCTTGCTTTACACATTTCACATATTCCTCAAGAGAGTAGAAGGGGTTTTCGAGCAAAAATAATTTTATTGTTTTATTGGTGTTGTGCTGGTGAATACCTGTTAGTTCATCAGACCTTATAACCTCATTTATGATGTGACATTTTTCGACCACGTACTGTTTTCTATTATATAAGTATGATTCTATCAAGTTAGCTGAGGTTCCCCTGATTCCATAAGCCTCAAGTTTATTTAGCAATGTTTTATGATTGACATTGTCAAAAGATTTTGAAAGATCTAAGTTAATCATTAAGCTATGTTTCTTGTTGTTTTGATTATTTATGACTGAACATAAAGCTTGAAAAATTGCTCTTGTTGTCGATTTACCCTTTCGAAAACCGTTTTGTGTATCACTTAATAGTTCGAATGTTTCAAGGTAGGATATAAGGCGATTATATGTGATTCTTTCAAAAATCTTACTAATATTTGATAGTAATGCTATAGGTCTGTAATTTTTTATTTGATCCTTGTCACCCTTTTTGAAGATTGCTTTTATATGAGCTATTTTTAATTTGTCAGGAAATATTCCTTTATTAAGCATCATGTTTATAATAATTGCTAGGGGTGTTGATAGTTCACGTGCAACATATTTCAAGAGTTTTACCGGGATTTCGTCATAGCCAACCGATTTTAGATTTTTTAGTGACATTATTGAGATTACTTCATGTTCAGTTGTTGGTGCAAGAAATAGGGTTATATTTATTGGATGTAAACTTGTATGTTCATTTGTTGTCATGACGATAGACTTAGAACATTGATTTATATAGAAGCTATTTACTTTGTTTAAGATTAATTTTTTATCTTTTTCTTCTTTATCAATATTTCTTAGAATTGAAACGTTCTTCTTTTCTGTTTTCCCTGTGTACTTATGTACCAATGTCCACACTGCTTTCCCTTTATTGGTAGCGTTATTAATAAACTGGTTGTCACACAATTTTTTTGCACAGAATTTTAATAGCTTTTTTTGTTGAAAAATGCTAGAAACTGCAGATGAGTTTCCCCAAACGACAATGCCTTAATCAAGATCAGAATGGAATAAAGGAAAATAAACTGATCTCAGGATGCTCATATTTGTGCAATGTCTGAGTTGTCGCATACTGAAAAGAGAGCGCGACAGTTTCAAATTTAGTTGCCTGATGTGCTCAGTCCAGATTAGCTTATCTTTTAAAAAAAATATTAGAAACTTCACATTTTTATCATCTGGAATGGTTTTCCTGGTAGAGATAATCAAGTTTTGTGATTTATTGTTGTTTAACTTTAGCTTGTTAGTTATAAACCACTGTAGCTTTCTCTTCTTTAGGGAATCATATTCCTCATGGGAATAAATTAGCATAGTATCATCTGCATATAGAAAATTTTTGTTTGGAAACAAGAAAGAAGGAAGATCATTAATATAGATTACAAATAACAGTGGGCCCAGAAACGAACCCTGTGGGACACCAAATTTAACGTCTGTATAGCTGGACAATCTGTTGTTGAATATCACAGCTTGGAAATGATTTGTCAAATACGATTTAATAAGTGTGAGAGTGATACCTCTGATTCTGTAGCAGATGAGTTTTTCAAAAAGGATTTCATGGGAGACACAATCAAAAGCTTCAGTCAAATCGCAGAGAGTAATACCCACATGATTACCTCTTTCAAGACCCGCAACGATTTGCTCTACCACCCTCATTTTTGCATTTGTCTTTGAGTGATTTTTACGAAAGCCAAATTGTTCATTACTAAAAAACTTGTTGTCTTCGAAATACTTGGATAATGCTTGTTTTAAGATAATTACAATCAATTTCGAAAAGATACATATGGTAGAAATGTGTTTATAATTGTCAGTTTCGTCTCTATTCCCTTTTTAAAAAAACGGAATGATTTTGGAGCATTTGAAAATATCTGGAAATTTACCAGTTTCGAAGATTTGATTAATTAGGTTTGTTAGAGGCTCAGCAATTGTATCAATACTTTCTTTTAGTATTCTGCTACTAAGTTCATTGAAATCTAGGCAAATGGATTTTTTCAGAGATAAGATAGCTTCTTGTTACAGGCAGCATGAAAAAAGAGGAAGATGGATTGGGAAAATGTTTGTAACTCAGAAATATTATGGTGGGTATATGTGGTGAAGATTCAATTATATCTTCGGCCACGTTGGAAAAAAATTCAACGAAATCATCAGACGATAGTTTGTCCGTTGACGTGTCGCGTTTATTTATGACCAAGACGTTCATGCCATATTATATAATCGATTTTACTACTCATATTCATCAATTTAGGATGATTTGATTTGTGTTTCGTAATTTATAAAATCACTTCAATGAGACCATTTGAATGCTCACCTGTCAATATGACTTGTTCGTTGCATAATACCTTTGCACCATCAGTGAAGAAAAAGACATTCCTTCCTGCTGCTTGAATGCAGGATACTGACAGCAAGTTATATGGAACGTCTGGGGAATACAATACATTTTCCAGGTTGCCGTCAACTCCTAGGTTCGTTGTTACCTGGATAGTACCCCTTCCGGTAGCTGCTATTGAAACCCCATTCTTCGCAAAATTGATTTCCAAAGACTTGTGTAGGCATGAATATGTTGTAAAAACATCGAGTCGATCCACAATGTGGTGATCTGTTGCCCCGGAGTCCAAGAAGAAAAACATTTCATCAGATTTTCCATTGTTCAGACCACTCGAATTTCCAGCCACGAATATGAATCCGCTTTTATTGTCTTCAATTGTTTGAGTAGCTTGGATTGTGCTTGGACGTTCTCGTTGTTTTTCTAGCATCTTCTTGTAGTGGTAACAATCTCTTTTTGAGTGGTTCCTTCTTCCACAATGTTCCACAAATTATATGAGACTTTATGTGGTGATTTGTGGTATGACTTCTTCATTCTTGTGTTTCCGGTTTCTTTGTGTTTCTTTTGTTTCTTGAATGTGACACCTGAGGTTGGTTGATTTCCCATCTGCAGTACCTTCAAATCTATGCTGTTATCATTTCTCTTCAATTTAACCTCATGATCTAACAATCTTGTTTTCACGAAGGTGATGTTTAGGTTATCTTCTATGGGGGTTTCAAGAGCTGTAATGACTTCATCGTATGAAGAGTCAGCAAGAGATGAGAAACCTTATCCATTTCATCTAATTTAGCTCCAGCGGAAACAAGTTCGGTTACTATTTCATAGAAACAAATGAAATGTTGTGATAAAGACACTTCTCCTTGAAGTTTTAAACTCAATAATTGTTTTCTCATAGCCAGTTGAGTTGCAAGACTTCTTCGTTCATAAACGACATCCAGGGTTTTTGGAATATCTTTGGCAGAATGTTCTTCTCTTGCGAAGCTCAGAAATGAACCACTCAAGTATTCAACTTGCTCTTCGCGATCAGATTTTTTTCTTTGTCCATTCGTCATCTTGTTTTTTAACAACCTGGTCTCCAAAACATATAGTTTGGCAAGTAGTGATTTCACACGGAACTTCCAGACGCTATAACGTTCTCCATTGAATAGTTGAATGTTTCGTTTATTATTTTTGATATCCATTTTATTTACATAGATCAGATTCACAAGAACTTAAGTACACTTTTGATTTTGTTTTACGTACACTGGGCCTATAATCTGTTAGGATAGGACATCAAATTAAAACGACCAGATTAGGTAGACTCACTTATATTCAGTTATACACGCTATCTTTATGAATGCTCAGAATCAACTGACTAATATATACCGTAATATCTAGTCATTCGAGTACAGATATGATTCATATTCGCAACGTTTCCATTATATAGTTATATCAGGATAAAATGATAAGCTAAAATATAGGGTCATTCCTATTTAATGTTTTACTGATAAACCCAATAAGGAACACATTTGTGATATCCGTATATTTGTAAAAGTGATTTCACGTTCAGTACGTCTTTAGAGTCACTGAGATATAAAAACTTTCATTCAATTCATTGCACACGAAATGTACCTGCTTTTCCCAAGTAAGGTTACAATCGATGAAAGATCCAGAACATTTTATTCAAATAAGAGGTAGTTAACACTATTCAATGAATCGACCAGTTATATATCAATAGAAAGTTTATTCTTTTTTAAAATATCACAATTCTTACAATGATAATCTGTAAAGCAGAATTAGAATGTACTAAAACCGACACATGTCACGACATAAATGAACATACATCATGGACTAGAAATTTAAGTGAATATTCAGACGCTAATTATTGAATAAGAAATCTATAACATCTAACATAAAATTGTATAGTAATGTCATGGTAGAAATACTCAAGTTAACTAGAAATAAACGAAAATTTCATGAATTATTTCAACACAGTGACACAAGGAAATACAGAAGTTCTCAATGCTAATGAAGGGCGGGACTGCTTTATAACATTGCAAAAATCATACCCTGTGAGTAATTGAAATAAAGTCAACAGGTATTATATATAACCCGTACAAACAAACTCAGACATTATTTCATTATTTAAAAAAAAATTACGAAATTTCAATAAACAAGTCAACTAGTAACTGAAATATGGACCATAAGAACAACTATCAACTTTTATTTAAAACATTTTTTCAGCTTTTATATGTACTAGAATGGAATCAGATTTTTGTATCGTCAAAAGCAGAAAAATAAAAAATGATAATAATTTTCAAATATGAGAAGGAATATTGTCATTTGTAGCTAATCTCAATTGAGCACTCAATTCTATACATATCTCCTTTTGCTCAATGATTTGTCTAACTAAATTAATTTTTTTTATTTCTAAAATTTGGTTTTCTTTCAGGAGAAGATCCATTACTTCATTTAAACATTCTTTTTTTGGAACAGTTTGTTTTGAAACATGATTAGTTGACTCAATAATTGTCTTCAGATTATCAATTTCTTTTTTTTCATTCTGTATATCTCTCGACAACTGTTCTTTCAAATGAAGCAATCCATTTCTCTTGTAGGTGAGTAATACTATATCATCATCAAATAAGAAATCATTTTTTTCCAAAATCATCTCCTCAGAACTTTCCATTTGCTTTTTTGTATAATCCTTGGAAGGTTCTGAGTGACTCACTTCAGGTTTGGCACTTTTTATACATGGTTGAGGTTGCGCAGATAAATTATCGAAAATAAAAGGAACTTCAGCACTGTCGCTGCAGTTAGGTTCTGAATTGTCTAGGCATTCGACATAATCTTTGTTTTTTTTCCCTTTAAAATTAGTCTTCTCAGTGTTTTCCGGTACCTCTTTATTCTTTTGTACTATTTTTAGTTTCCTCTATAACAAAGGGATTCGTTTTCACTGAAACAATGAATAAATAAATTCTCTACTGACCTTCAACTGAGTTATTATTCTTTGCACTTCCCACAACTTTTCTTCCCTATCCTTTGGAATGCAACCAACATTCATTTCTTTATGGATTTGATATAACAAGGATTCTTGTTTCTCAAGTTCACGTTCTAACAGACTGGGCTTATCGGGAAGCTGCATTCCTGAACTAAGGGGTGGAATATATTTTATAATGATGACATTCGGAAATAAAGCTTGACAGTGGTGCAGAAGTGCCTGTAATAACCTTGACGATACATGAAACGTGTGGTTTAATGCTGCAGAAATATTCTGTTTGTTCATTTTATTTTGTTTTTCCTATAAAAAAGTTGAAATTTCAAGGTTGTCAAATTAAAATGAAACATCTTACTTTTAAAGAAATATTATTCAAATGTACAATTAACCAAGACAAAAGTAACTTGTTCAAGGGAGGTAGGTGATCAATTAATATTCTTAGGTGTTTTTCCCTTGTATTGAAATTCAAAATGGCACCGGCTTCTTCAAAGCGAATCAATAAGTCATTGGTGAAGATTGGTTCAGGTAGATCTCTGGGAAAAAAATAATCATCAAGAACATACTATATAAACATTCTTCAAATATTACCTCAAAAACATTTTAAGTAGACTAGTAGCTGTAGGTACGTCATAATCATTTAATCTGACATTTTGCCTATGGTTGTACATTTTCCTTAATTGCGAAACCTTAGCCTTTGTACCACTTACTTTATACACACCTTCAAATGACATACCCACTGCCTCCACGTAGTCAATGCAATCTCTAATTGGCAGCGGTAAATCTAATCCATCATGGCATCGACTTCTTTCTACCGATATATCTAAACTCACTCCAAATATAGGCAAAGCTTCTGAAATGTTTATTTTCATTTAGAAAATCTGCAGACGTATTTAGGAGTCGTATTTACCAGAAATATCAATTGCTTCTTCGATTGAATGCTTAGTTTTCCTTCCCTTATCTTTTTCACATTTCTTATCAGCTTTTTTATCCTTATCCTTTCTTTTGTCTATAATTTCCTTTCTGTTTTTTGAGAATTCGGCCAATTTTGTCAGTTACACCTTTAATGTGTAATTTCCACATTCCTCAGTTATCACCCGAAGACGATTGTAGATACTAACAATCAAAACGTCGTGAAGTGACTTGGTTTGGAATCTTTTAATTTCATATTTTTATTTTTCATTTCTTGTTAATAATTTTTTCAATTTTTCAGCTCGTGTTAATAGTTCAATTTTTTTGGGTTTTTTATTGTTGCTTGCATGTTATTTCACTGTTATTTCAGTTTTTTGCTCAATAAAATTGTTTTTTCAGCTAATCTTTTTATTTTTTTACAGATTCTTTCAGAGATTTCAAATCAATTTATATCATATTAGACAATGGAAGTCTGAACTGATGAAATACACCACGAAACATTGTCAACCACCTTAAAAAAAATCACTTTCATGCCCAACTATTCTGGAGAAAATTTTCTTCTCCTGAGGATGCTAACTTTGTTGGCGAAACGCGCCTCTTGTGCAAAAATATCAGTTTGGTGTTAGGGCAATTGATCTCGAAAAAAGTTATTCAACTTTCACACCAAAGGTTCCAATCTCATCGTTATAATTGAGGATGTATATGCTCCAGGTAATTATGATCGAGTAAGTACCTGAGTAGGTAGTTCTCACTGGTGATTACATGGGATATAAAAAAAGAGTAAAGAATCAATTTTTAATATGTTATTCGCTACGAAAAAGCTACTGTGATACCAAAACATGTAGTGATATTTTTGAAAATAAAGTTTGTGATGATCAAATCGTTAGGTGTATGTAGTTCATGAAATTAATAAGGATCTTCATGAAGTAACGGCCGACTCAATCAGAAAATTATTCATATATTAAAAATGAGAATAATAAAAATAATTCATATATGAAAAATGATAATTAAAACTTCCTAAGTTTTAATACCACTTGTATTTGTAACTGAGGTTACTGCAGTTTGGTCGTACAAGGACATTTTCAAACAAATACATGAAAATGTCCTTGTAAGACAAGAACAAAGAAGTTTTAATTTTCATTTTTCATGATGATCACCAACCATGTAGAAACTACATCCATCAATTTAATAATTTATGTTTACTGTAACTGGTGGGTTTTACATACCAGTGTCATACCAGAATATGTGTCTGAAAAAAGGTACTATATTATCATTTTCTGTTTCTACTGTGAACTGAGTATGTAAATGAACTGAATTGAAACCATTATGTGGAACAGACAAAATGGTATCATCCACATTCTTTTTTATAAAGGATAACTCAAAAGAGTAATTTGAATAATTGAAGGATGAACAATTTTGACTATTGTTTTTCATGCCCAACAAGAAGTCGATGATTTTTTTTTATTGTTAAAAAAAGTATATTCATTATAACATTAAAATCAACAGTTCAAAAATAACTTTTCAAAACTCGTTTCCTCCTTTTCATAAAAGAGGATGTATGCATCTCCACTCACAAGCGATTTTGGTGAAATTGGTGACACGTGTGTATCATTGTATTCGTGCCACGTGCCAGTATAAAAATGTCTGCAGAATGCTGTATAATGTCCGCTGTAGGTAGACCCACTGTGATTCGAAAGTGCATATAGATTATAGCGACAAGGAGCCACATTATCTGCTGCATAATTGTTAATATCTAATCCATCTTGAGGAAATTCGATGGCAACATTTAACTTGCTTCTAAATCTTTCTGTTAGAGAAAATCTAAAAAATACGGGGAAACTTATGGATCGATAGAGACTTTGTGCATTTTCTTCTTTCCTTGCAACTTAAACATGTGTTTTTCATGTCCATCCAAAGTTTCATCTCTTGTGAAGAAATCCAAGCACTGTGATAAACTCAATTGGCCAGTTCTTTGTGGTATGGAGAGTGATAGGTTACACATGAGTGTCCACAATGTGTGCACTTCATCGTGGATTTTAATTGACCAACGAAATTATACACAATCTTAGAGTTATATGTTTTCAAATAAATCAGCCATTATTCTTGTGCTTTTCCGCTGTCGCTCACGTTTTCGTTAATTTCCGTTAAGGTCGGTTTAGGTTTCTCAATAATTCTATTAACGTCATCATGTAAACCTTCTAAAAGATAACGAAGGAATTTCTGGGTGTCTTGATGCGCATGACCCTGGAATCGAGGGGCAAAATTCTTAATCTGACTTTTTAAAGAGACTGTGTTCACTGCTCTATCAGATAAATCTTCTGACCACAATTCCTTGATAACTTCTGCGAAAGCTTTGATTAAAGCACTAGAAATATTAGTATTCATGTACTCATCCCTTTTCAAATATTCCAGTAACTATATCGTATTTGATAATCAATGGATTACACTGTTCATGAAACAGGTGTTGCCAATATTTTTCAACCCATTAAGCCCAAGGGTTTTGACTGAGGAACGTATCACTGATCTAATTGTGTTGTGGTGGCTGTTTTGGTGATACGTTCGCCACCGTTGTTTTCTTTCCAGTAATCACGGATGCAATGATTCTTCCCATCATTGGACCAACGGAATGAGGAATTTGAAGTTGAATTTCTTGAAACTGAATCAGATATATTTATGGAGGTTTTTTTCGAATTTGGGAGAGAAAGATAATTCCAGAACTTCTTTATTTTCCTCTGCATCTTCTGAGACAATTGGGAAGTGATCAATCTTCTTACTACATTTTTCGATGTTCATAGGAAATTTTGAATTGATTTGTGGGTTCAGAAATATTTCATCTAATTTTTGAGTAGACGTAAGAGTACCCAATATCGATGTGGAATTACCCCTTTGAATGGCGATACTGATTAGTTGAATTAAAAATGAATAGGCTCGGTTGTCATTGGTAGAATTATTCATTCATCTACCAATTTCTTTCAACAATTCAGAAGCATGAGATCCAAAAACACAAAAGGTTTCAATATCAACAGGAAAGAAACAGTAGGAACTTAGCAAAGTGGAGTTTTTCCGAAATTTTGATTTTTCTGCAATCATAGCAGCTGCACCAGTGGAAGTAGAGGTAGCGGCACGGTGTGAAGCTGCAACTGTATCCACGCAGGTGAAGTCCCAAACCAGAGGTTTTCCAAATTTCCAAGGAATTAGACTCATCCCGTCTGAACGCTTTCCATCATCTCGACTAACACCAAGGGATTCAAGAACTGAAGGAACCTCTGCAGTGGCTAGAGCTTTTTTTATAAGACCATTAATGGAATTATGTTTCGAAAATCTGCCAGAACTGAATTCACAACTTAGGCCATGGTAACCATTTTGTTCTACAGTGGATCCACATCTGCATTTATGACTAACACAAATTGAAGAACCTAATCGAAGACCTATCGAAATCCTAAAAGATGCATCATCTAAGAGGGTACCCAAAGAAGCAACGGGAAGCGCATTCAACCAAGCACCTTCTTTGGACATACCATCTTTGAGTCTAGCCATTTGAATATCGGTTTGAATATTGGTTCAGCTGACTCAAGAAGTTGATTATGAGCCAAATTGATCATTGGATAATCCCGAACTTTCTGACACTTTTTATTCTCGGGAAGGGTATTTTTCGTTTGAGATAACCATTTATTTTCACCATTCAAGTAATACGTATCAGAAATTTCAGATAAAGATTTGGAAAGAATGGAGTTTATCAAATGACGAGAACGATTATAAGAGGAAAGAAATGCTGGCAGTGAGAGGAATGAGGCTAATCGAATACCTAAACCACCCCAGAGTTAACTGGGAGAGTAGCTTGACTCCAAGTGATATTTCGAATTTATTATTGGTAATTTTTTGTAAAGAATTTCGTAAGGTGGAATCGAATTCTTGTAACTCCTTTTGACATATCCAAGTTGGACTGCATCTCAAGGTATACAATAATTTGGGAATTCAAACAGTATTTCAATAGAAAATATGCTATATGGGAAGGAAGACTATCGAGACGAGATGACAGTAGAACTAGAGACTCTGGTTTTTTGTGAAAAGCAACGTGATAAAGACTCTACAGAGAGAGGAGCTCCCAATAAAGACCAGTGTGTTTTGGGGACAATTTTAAGCAATTGAAAAGGGGCAAAAATTTTACATTTTTCGAGATTTAATTCAAGTCCAACATCATTAGAGAGATGAATTATTTTTTGAAATTCTTGGAGAACATAATCTATATTACCACCAATTGAACCATCGTCTAGGTACCAGCAATTGAAATTGGTGTTGATAGACTTTGTCAGTTCATTCAAAGTGAGGCAGAAAAGAGCAGGACCTAGAGGATCGCCTTGTTGAACCCCTCTCTGAGATAAGATAGTATTTTTTCCAAAGTTCAAAAATGTTGAATTTCGATAACATTGGTTGATAAAAGGAAAAAGGTGAGGAATAATTTCGTGGGTTTTTCGTAAAATGATGTTTCTGTGAATCACGTTGAAGGCGTTTTTATAATCTAGTTTAACAAAAATTTGAGAAGATGGATTGGGATGTTCATTTAAAAAAAAACGTGCAGCATGTTCCCTGGAGTTCCAAAACCAAATTGAACAGGACGAAATAAATTTCCTAAAAAACCAGAAACATCAATACAACATAATTTCGCTACAAGGCGACGAAAAATGGTACCAATAGCAATGGGGCGAATGCCACCATCTTTTTTTTTAATGTTATCAAAGATGCACCATATAAAATAGGACAAATATCGGGATTCAATCGACCGTTCAGCAATAAGTTACACAAGGAAGTCAAAGAAGACAGAAGCTTTTCACCTTTACAATCAGAAATTTTTGATGTCAAGTCTTGTAAATGGGAAGGTCTAAGGGAGTCTATTCCTCCTGCCGAACCAGTGCGAAATGATCTGATTGCTTTCAATTCTTGTTTTTCATTAACTTGGAGTGGAGTACAGTTTGTGTCAGGTATAGGTTCTTGACAGACGTCATCAGGATGTTTAGCTTGAAGTTCATTTAACGTAATATCATCAAAATCTGCAAAACTGTCCGTTGAAGTCAAAATACGGATTGCCGAAGTGGGATCGCCATCCGAAACTT